TCATCAAGAAGGTCTACAGTATCTGCTGCAATACCAATGCTCAGCCAGAAGTTTTCGGAACCGACATCATTCCGATGGTATGCCACAACCGCCAGATTGATCTTGAAAAGACCGTCCAGAATGTTGAGCAGGTTTGCCGCTATTTCGACATGGCTCCATCCAAGGCAAAACCGATTACCGACCCCATCCTCTGGCGAAGCGAGCGATTGAGCAGATTGTTTTCCGGATGTTTTCGACATGATCCAAAACAGGGCCACCACAGAGAATACGGACGACCAGTGGACATGAATCCTGACGGATCCGTTGAGCTCTACGACGCATTGGGATGCATTACGCATGCGAAGAACTTCATGGGCAATAAGCCAGGACTTCTCCTGATGGCTATGTTCCCGGATTATCGAAGGGGACGTTTCGAGATTGCTTTCGTGTATCCATCCGTGGACGGGTCATACAATGAGCGCAAGGCAAAGGGATGCATTGTTCCAAGGAATCGATGGATCGACAACCTCACATCCAGATCCGCATATGATGCACTCAGGCCTAATGGCAGAGAATTCCTCAATGATCCAGAGATGGAATTCCACGTGAGATGCAACAGCGGTCATACTCGACAAGTCGATCTCCAATCTTTTGGACGCCCCCTTTTTACTCTTGACGGAAGAGTGAACCTCGCCAAGAAGAACCGGACTACGATCTTCCAACAGAATCCATTCCTCCAAGTCCGCATCCTTCAAGATCCGACGCGCCCCATGAAGATGAAGGAGCAGCTCAGGCAAAATACAGAATGCGAAGGCGGCGCCACCATCCATTGAAGAAGAGAGAAAGATCAACCCGTTCGCGAAGAAGCCCATCACGTTCATGTTCCATGCAACATATGGAGAGCTGCTGATCAGCATTATGGAGAACAGGCTCAAATCTGGGAAACCCCAGTCAAACCCTTTGGGGAGAGTGCACATCCACATGGCATGCATCGCCGACGTTATCCTCGACGACGACGCGTCAGAAGCAGCACTGACACATGTGCCAACAGGAAGAGATGCGTTGTTGATCCTTGCATTCCTCAAGGACCAGGACTACGGCATCCGACTCTCCGAAGAGCGAACAGCATTGACAGAACAAACCATCGAGGCGAAGAATCTTGTTGCAGCATTTGATACTGATGGGAACATCATAATGAGCAACAACTGGATCATGAAGAAGAATCTCGGCCGTGAATACGTTGAGATGTACACCAGCAAGATCCAGGAATTCGCCGATGCCTTCTTCAAATATGTGAATACCGACCAACAAAACAAGGAAAAATCCGAGAAAGATACATCCACAGAGACCAAGAAGCGACGGCGCTCCACCGATCAGGACGAAAATGATGAGGAGAACATGGAACCCTCCGGGGAGAGATCCGTCAAGCCGAAGGTCACCATGGAGTGTCGAGAACCTAGAAGAGTTCATCAAGGAATTCAAGGAGATATACCTTGAAATAGACATGAACAAGAAGGACGCCGAGGAAGAGCTCGAGGAGACCAAAAGGAACTTCATCCGCTTCATGGAGAAGCGCAACAAGGATCCAAAGAGAGCTCATCACAAATTGACAGAATGCGAGCGAGCCTCATTGGCACATGTCGATCCAAATGTCAACCTCGATGAAGAAGAGTTCTATTTTCACCATCGAGGAGAATTGCCAACCGTGGAAGAGTTCAGGAAGGCACAGCCAGTATCAGGATATCCGATCATGATCAAGCTTCGAATTGGATTGAAGAAGCTCAGAGCATATGACAAACCAGAAGTCATACAAGCATTTGCTGATATCCTGGGATCGCTGATGCAGCCAACTGACCGTTCCCCTGTGGACCATCTCAAGGCACATGAGTTCACCTCACCCCTGACGATCAACATGCTCACCATGAACCACGGAAACCTCACGAGGAAATTCAAAGCTGGACAGCAAGGAGGTGAATAACATGGCGATGAAGGATCGACCAATCGTGAAAATGATGATGCAGAACAGCGCGCGCTTCATCTGCCTAAATGAAGCAGACACATTCCTCAGTCCTCAAGACGAGAAATCCAAGGAACTCATCAAGACGTTCATCCGGTTTGGATACAAGGGCATATCTATCAAGCAATGGTCATCCAGACCAATCGCATGCTTTGTCCGCGGCGGACCTTCCGCAAGAGTGGAACTATTGGCACGGCACATTTCCACAAGGAGTCAAAATTGGGGAACTACATTCGGTATGTTCAGATGCTTCTTCGGAACCGAGAACAATTGCACTGATGCCGAATACGACATCCCGACCTCTGACTGCATGGCAACCACAGGAACATCCATGTTCATGGAATCCAAGAAGTACATTGGACCGAGGTTGCCGCCACGCACAACTGTCCAAGGACATGGGCGTAACAAGGAAATTGTCGTCATCCACATCGAGCAGAGTGATGAATTTCGTGGTGCGTTTCCAAAGTCATCCCATGACTCACTCCTCGAATTCGACAGCCGCCATGTAACGAGGGCAGACCTCCCGCTTGCTACCATTGGAGTTTTTCACATCCATCCGTCAATCAGCCATGGAGCAGCACGGGACGATTTTCAGAACGAAATCATGCCGCTCGTGACATTGTACCAATGCGATGCGATCACCGGAGACGCCAACAAGTCCGCGAACACCTACAGCAAACTCCAACACGTCTTCAATCCGGCCAACGGTCTCATGAATATCCTCATGAAGGCATATCAGAGATTGTGGAATGAAACGGAGAACTTGCCACTCGTGGACAGAATGGAATATGCAATGGAGACTTCCCGCACCCTGAAATCCATCGCCCGTCATCACCTATACATGAAGACTGGATCCGGGTATGATCGAACATTCCCAGATGTTATGATGACTTTCGTATTTGGATGGGGCAACACAAATATCCAGCAGGTTTTCCGGAAGGAAGAGATGAACGCAATGAAAGATCATCAACTGGAAGCCATGCGGAACGATCCTACGTCTGCCATTTTTGACTATCAGGTCTCATCCGCGGAACGCTTCAAGCACGATTCACACAGTCCGCTGATGGTCTACATCCGCAGCAGATCTGCCACCAAGCAGCGAAACTTTGAGCGATCCAAGGAGCACCTCAAGGAGAAGCAATCCTGGACTCAGCAAGAGTACAAGAAATACAACAAGCAGTACTGGGGCAATCCAAAGCAGTGGAAAGACTACGGCGACTCGACCTGGAATGATTAAGGAGACTACGGCAGTCAATCCGAGGTGGTACCGTTGACTATCTGATGAAGCTGCCACCTTTGGCATCCATTCGACCTCCTCTGGTCTGAGTGATCCGCCAAGGAAAGAAGTTTTTCTGAAGAACACCCGAAATCGGCGCTACGAATTTCAACCGAATTGATCCTCACCGCCAACAAGACTATTCAGTGAGAGATCAATAGTTTCACATCCGTCCCGCATGTGCATAGCGTTGTACATCATCTTTTAGATACATCTAGGTATCTCACAGAATCAGTACAGAGTGTTTCCCATTTTGCAATTCAAGACATTTCATCCGCGCAGAAAACAGGATGAGTCCAGTATTTCAATACACATGGCTACGGCATGAATCAAGGCTACGTCCAAAGGCCATGAAGCCAAAGATATTTCATATCTAGTGCTGGAGATCAAATTTTTTTGTGTCTGTTTTGTGTTTGGTTTGTTGAACACTTGATCTCCTGCAACATTTGGCTCAAGGCCCCAGTCATTCGACGCATGGTACATTGATAAAAGGCTTGCAGACCGCTTTACAGGTATAACAGTCAATCCAAGCCACCAGAAACAATCCATCCCCCAATCATCCATATTGGCATATTGGACTCTCTCCGGAGTAGATCCAGGGACCGAATAACGACCTCTACTGCCACATTATGCCAGTTCCCTTCTGGGATAGGCGCCCCAGCACCCAGCAGTGGCTCACCCCTTCCCCCTCCCCTCCCCTCCCCTCCCTCCCCTCCCCCTCCCCTCCCCTCCCCCCCCTCCCCCCCCACCTCCCTCCCCTCCCCTCCCGTCCCCTCCCTTCCCCTCCCCTCCTCCCCTCCCCCCCCCTCCCCTCCTCCCCTCCCCTCCCCTCCCCTCCCTCCCCTCTCCCCTCCCCTTTCCTCTCCCCTCCCCTCCCTCCCCTCCTCCCGCTCTCTCTAGACCAAGAGAGAGAGAGAGAGAGAGAGAGAGAGAGAGAGAGAGAGAGAGAGCAACAGGAACCCAGCCTCACAGGCTGATTAATGGTAAAGCAACCCATAAATTAGGCTTCATAGTTGATGTTGGTTCATCCATTCAGCCTTTGACAACCATCCTGAGGTATCCCTGTCCATTGGTGCTGTCCATCCCTTCTAAATGGCATTTCAGTTTGCGGTTGAGCAGGGGTCCCTGGATTCCCTCGAATACTGGTGGCAGTGTATCGAAGTAAGAGCCCTTGTCATTTTTCGGCAGGCTTCATTGTTATTTTCCTTCTATTTGTGCGGACAAAGTGTCGACATGTACCCCTGTGGGTGTCGCCTCAAATTGGGGATGCCCACACATTGTTCGTTGCAACCGCTGACCAAAAGGTTGCTTCCCAAAAGGGAGTTTCCCAAACAGAAAAAACGTGAACACAGGGGTACGTGAGCAACTGACTTGTCATCAAGAGTTTCTACTGGACATTCGCCAACCACCCACCACAAAACAAGGTATAGCTGGTTTCTTGAAAATTTTCACAGCCCATTGTCATCTTGGGGAGGACGCAAGAGACCCCCACGCCCGGAAACTAAGGCGCCCCCTGAACCATGAAGAGCCATGAACAACCACAAGCGACGTGCAATACCCTTCAAGATGGTTGGGAGACATGAATGCCCGTGTGAATGATGTAGGTGAAAGCTCGCACCCATACATCTCAAAGTGGGGAGTTGTGGGTTGACTTTGGTCCCTCCAAAGGCCCAAAAACAGGGCCGCTCCAACCAAGTAGTCAACGTGCGCTTGAGTTCACAGCTCGAGGCCATGGACGACTGGATGGAGGGGCACAATCTGAAGGCCGGGAAGGATGCACCTCTCTCCAGCGTGCGCCAGCGAACCACCTGACACTTCATTTTGTTTTGTGGTTCCCTTCCTTGAGACATGACCCCTGGACAAGTCTTGGCACGTGAGGTCATTGTTGTCCCGTGGTGAAACCCCTCAGCTGCCGAGGCCCTTTGGAATCTTTGGAAAGAACCCTACGTTAGCTGGGTGTTTGAGACAATCTTGAAACCGGCTTGCTGGCTATTCCCTGTTTGTGGTAGCTAGCTCTTGACCTAGTTGCCGACTCCACTTGATTTCATCAAGCTGGGAGAAAGAAAGAGAAGAAGCAGAAGAAGCAACATAAGAAGAAGGAAGAAGAAGAAGAAGAAGAGGAGGAGGAGGAAGAACGACGAAGAACGAAGTTGAAAAGTGAGAGTGTTTTCAGATCTAATAGAGCTTGCTTCTTGGGGACGCTCATTTGCTGCCCGCCTCCCTGCCGGAACCCTACCTTTCTTGGGCAGTGTTGGGCACAGAGTTCAAGCCAGGTGCGGGATATCTTTGCCAACTTGGACACTGGGAGCACGGCCACCTTCATGGCGCAGGACCCCAAGGGCCACCACACCTCGGACTTGGAGTCCACGACTTTTGGTTGGGGATTCTGCAAGTGTTCCCAGGAATCTAGTAATTGAAAAGCAGCTGTTCACAAACAAGAAGGTCTCCAACTCAGGGCACGCTTTCTAAATACCCATCAGGGAATTGCGGGGAGGGGGGTGGGTGGGGGGTTCTCACCAACGTCAGTACGCGCTTGCGGACGTGCAGACACCTTTGAAAGTTTGGATCCTCGATTAAGAGTTGCATGCTGAAAATGGTACCGTCGTTATACAAGTCTGGCCGCATACATTGTAAAGCATTGGCTTCCGAAACTGGTGACGCATCAGCCACTGTGCTGCTTTCATGGTGGCGTGACTTAAGCGACGTTGAGCAGGAGCTTCTCGGCGAATGCAAGCAAACTTGGCACTGGGAATCGAACTCCTCAGCCAAGAACGAGACTTCCCGGGCACTCTTTTCTTCCGACAGTGGACACCACCAACACTCCACCCAATGTGGTGCGGCAAAATCAAATGATCCCTTCTCTTTGGGATTTTCGCACTCCTTCCCACGGGATTGGAACAACCTTAGGTAGATGGGACTGGAAGTGCTCCCGTGTTTTGGGTTCCCTCTGCGGGACGGCCCTCTCAGGAGTTGCAGCGGGTGGTGAGCTTCATGGACTTCGAGGACCCCCCGAGCCCTTCGGATGTGGAGGACCTGGCAGGCGGGGAAAAGATCGGGGGGTGAGGGTGAGGGGATGGGTTGGAGGTTGGGTTGGAGGGGTGTGATTGAAATTGTGCTTCGTGTTGTTTGTTTCTTTTTTATTCGCTTTTTGTCTAGATAATTGTATTCTTTTGGATCGTGTGTTTGCTGGAAAGGGAGCAGCCCTCCTCCAAAGTCTCAATCTGTCCAAAATGCCCATGGAACGAGAGCAGACCCCTGCAAAGGAAACAAGCACTTACCGTACCCAGCACATTTTCCTCTGGTTCCAGCAGGGAATCCTCAGCTTTTCGGGGCATTCTGTTGCCGCTTAAAAAGGGGAATCAGGTCAACCAGTGAGATTCTTTCTGTAAGTGGGATGCTTTCCCAGCTGTCGTCTGGTTCAGGCCTTCCACAGCCCCGCAACGAGTCGTCTTTGATGTTCGGCCCCGTTCCCGGGCTACTGATGTCGGGTTCCGCTGCAAATCCGCCGCGCGGAAGCCCACGGCAAGGCCTCCTGGCCAGGCCGGGGGCAGTGGCCTTGGCCTCGGTGAAGTTCTTCGCGCTCTGTCTTTGCATAAGAACATAATAACACCTTTACCAGCCGGTTTTGAGGATCCTGTTTAAGTGGATTTGGGATATTGCAGGAACCCATTCACCCCCTTATGAGTTTGAATCAGCGGGGTTTGCCTTCGATTTCCATGTCAGTCTTCTCAAAGAAATAGGAGCGGACAGTCCATGGAAAGGCCTTCCTTTCCCTGGCCTCTCCGGAACAACTCGCTGCCCCGAGTCCATCGACTTCTCCACGCTGGAGATGGCCCGCATCGCCGCGCGCCTGGCGAAGGAGAGCCGCAGCAGGCGCTTGCGGAACCGGGCGTGGCTCGGGTGGGACGGATGGCTGGGTTGGGGAGGGTTTGTCGGGGGGGGCTGTTTGGGGCTGGTTTGGACTGCAGGCAGAGCAAACAAGGCAGGCAGCGCAAACCGTGCGGGCAGCGCAGCAGAATGAGGCTGGTCGACAATGTGAGAAGCCTTGCGAGCGCGCGGTATCCAGCTGAATATGACTGGAGGCGCAACAGAGTAGCAACCGCGTAGCAACAGCGTAGCAACAGCGTACGCGCGATTGCATGACGTGTTTTGCGCCCAGCCTACTTTTTCCGCGAGCATGTTTTAGCAGGGGCAAACTTCTCTCAAGATTGGGAAGGCTGGTTGGCCATCCTTGTTGAGACCTACGACGTCGGAAGGTTTTCATTTTGCTTGCTGCGCTTCTGAGCTTTTCTACATCAACGTGGGCCACCTCAAACATGCCGCATTTAGAGTGTTGGTGCGTCTCAAGATGAGGAATCCGTCCTCCAGGTCGAGTGGGCTATCTCTTGTAAGCGGAGATGCGGGGGCCCGACAGTGACAGCATGGCAAGAACCACTGGACGGCGGCACAGAAATGACTCCTTTCGTGTGTCCCAAAAGGGTCAAGAAGCCCTATTTGTGACGACCTCCCCGCCCTTTCCTCAAGAACGGAAAGCGGGCACCAGGAAATCGTCCAACAGGTTGGACTCCATGTTTGTTCCCTTTCAAACGTGCCCCCAAAAAGATGCAGCTTGCAATGACTCACAGCTATTGGGCATGATCTTTTCAGTGAGGATGTTCGGGCACTCGGTGCGCCTTGGGTCTTAAGAGCCAAAGGCCCCGCTCCATAGAGGCCCAGGTTTATAGCGGCGAGGTGTCAAAGTCACGGAGGCCCATCCAATTGGGTCCCTGACTTTGGATTCAGTTTGACTTATGAAAAGCGCCAACACATTTGGATGGGACCAGACTCTCTTCCGGGTTTGCTTTCCTGCCAGGGCAAGGAACTGCTTCTTGAAAGACCTGTCCAAGATGAGCAAAGCTGAGTCCAACGCCGCCCTGGCAGAAGTTGACGAAAGTGCGAACGCCAGCAGCCAGGGGCCGATCAACCGGTGAAGTCTGTTTAAAGCGCCTCCCTGCCATGGGAGCGCGGTTGGGAATCGTCAATAAACCTGGGGGAGGGGGATTCTAACAATCTCCTAAATCCAGTTGGGCGGCCTTAAGAGCGCACGAATCAGACGCGGAGCCCTGGAGCTGTGGGGTGCTGGTATGTTTGTTGCATCCGGGTCATGCATGTAGGTAAGGTATGTGGACCTCTTTTTTTGTTAGGTGGGTGTACAAAAGGTTGGTGTCCTTTTGGCTCCAAGATGGGCCTGTGCAGTTCCAGGTTGGCTGGGAGGGTGCCGAACGGACCTCACACTACGCTTTAGTTGCCTTTGGTTTTTGCTGAACATCTCTCAACAGCAGACGTTCCCTAATGTTGACACTTTTCAGGGATCATTGCAGTCTTCATGGGCTTTTTTTTTGCCGGGTTTTCCATCATGCCGCAATCCGGGGGGAGGGGGGGGAGGGAATCGGATGCTTCTGCCGGCCAGGCCTATTTGTTCTTCACCGACCTGCTGGCCAACCTGGAGCGCCGCCTGCGACTTTGAATGGCCGATCTGACGGACGTGTTCTCTGCGCCTGGGCTTTTTTTTACACAAATAAATGGACAGTGACCTCACAAAATCCGGTTGGCGACTGATTGTGCTCTTGAGGGTTCCTTCTCTGAGGAGCATGCACTTCAGTTGTTGTAATTCAGCTGAATGCGTGCGTTTGGATCGGTTAATTGGTGTTAAACACAGCAACTTTGGCAGAGTAGTGTGCCAACAATAGGGATCCTCCCAAATGGGTCGTTTCACGTAGGCCTGCTTTTCAAGAATCGTCCCAAAAGGGTTCTGAAGAGTGCCAGCACCATCCGTTATCCGTTGCCAGCCTCAGTTGTGACCGCCAAAGCCTGTCAACAAGTTTGCAGTCAGCCCGCCCTTGCTTGGAGAAAGAGAAACAGCACCATCGAACTCCGTCTTCCTGGCTGCCAGTGGGTATACCGGGAGCATCCGGGCGCGCTCATGTTTTGACACGATCAGGAAGATAGGTTGCCAGTTGCCAGTTCAGTCGGTTCAGCTCCTCCAAGGACAGAGGGTTTTAACAAATGTCTAACCCTGCCGGGGGGGGGGGGGCTTTCAGGTTTTCATGTTGGAGGGTATTTTGCTGGGAAGGACTCCATGTTTTGCCCTTTGCCCAACACAGCTGTGTGATCTTGGCAAATCCGCTTGCAGCGGTGGGGCAGCTTCCAGCCAAGTTCGGTTGCGGTGGGACTATTCCGTAGGCTTACAGTTGGCACAATTATCCCATTCGGCTTGAGTCACCCCCTTGCCCAAGTCAAGAAACATTTGCTATCTACCTTGACAATGGGGTATGTTTCTGTTCCCTCACGGCTGCTGCATGTTGCCAGGCTCAGAGCCCTGGCGCCGGAGAGCTTCTTTAGGCACGCCCGGCGATTCGGATTTCGTGGACCTGTACAGGTAGAAAGGGCAGAAGTGTTTGGGCTTCTGAAGGATTACCCTCCCCGAAGGATTCTAGGATTCTGCAACTGAAGCAATCTGTCGACTTGTTCTCCACCGTGGGGCAAGAGGGAGCCATCTGCCAGCCCGGCCGCGGTGTACGTCACACATGTGCTTTTGCAGACCCGGACCCCCGCAAACGAGCCAACCGGCACCTGCTGGCATGAAGCAAGACCCAGGAGAAGAATGGCTGGCCCTGCCCTGACACGACCAAAGTTGTGGAAGCCTATTTGTGATATGCAGGGCATCCCCTTTGAAGTGACAAAGTGACGTCGAGGGTTTGGCCTACTTGGGTAGTTGTCCACAGCCACAGGCGCACCATTTCAATGTTTTCTGCCCAAACAAAGCGGCCTTCCCTAGCGTGCGTTAGCGTGCGTAATGTTCAAGCCACTTCTAAGTGCATCTTTGTTTAGTTTTCAATTTTCAATTTGAGTGTTTTCAACTAATTTCGCCCAAGACGCTTCGCTCGGGGAAACGTCGAGACTCAAGACGCTCGCGGACGCCGGACGCCTGGCTCTGCCTGCCAGGATGCTTGACATGGACCACACGGGCCTGAAGCTTGGAGGGCACCCAATATGCGAAACCCGCTTGGAGAGGTTCCGTGTTGGGAATCTTGGGTGTGAAGAACATAAGGTGAATTTAAATTCGGTTGGGGCTCCAAATGCTTGTACCGATGCCACGAAATTCATACATGGCCAAATGAGGGTGTCCCAACCCTTGGCGGCTCATTTCAGATCGGAACCAGTTAAAATCTTCCAAGATGGTGGTGGGTTCTGCTTGAACAACTGCCCTCCAGAAAGGGCTCCTAGTTTTGACACCTCGCCACTTTTTGTGTTCCAAGGATTTACGAGTGGGAGCAATGAGTTTAGCTATATATCATCTCTGAAAGTTCTGACCAGTATGAGTGCAACTGGTGGCCCCGTCATTTTACGGACTCTTGAGGCGGGTTGGGTGGGAGCTTCTCAGGGAGCCTCACAGGAAGGCTTGGAGAGTCAGTAGTTTTAGGACGGACCAAAACCCCTCCCTAAGCATTTCATGCCCTTTTGCTCCAGGCTCAGTACCAGTCGTGGTCATCGTGAAGCAGGCGGGAATCCCTGACATGGGACCCCGTTGCCTGTGGGCTTCCCCTCTGGCGGACGCATCCGAAAGCTTTGAAAGGGGGAACACATGGATACTTGTTGTCGAGCGCGAGCTTGAAGCTTGGTGTGACCTCTGCTCTGGGCTCCCAAGCCTCTGCCTTGTAGAAAGCGGAATGGCTTCATGGCCCATTGCCAGTTGGCAGTTGCCCATCCCGCAGGCCAAGTCGCTCCAGCGGGCGGAGCCTTCAGTGTGGCGGAGCCGGCCCGGGTTGGAGCTGAATGGACCAAGAGGAATGCGGTTGACCGAACCGGGGCTTGATTGCGTTTTGGGAACGACAAGGGGCTGACAATGCGCCTGTTTGCTGGGGTTCGGGCCTGAAGACAGAACATCTCAAGCTGGGAGGTAGTCGATGTCTAAGCATGCTGCTTCAGAACCAAGATGCGACGGCGAGGCCATCGGAGGGATCCAACAAATTGTGAGAAAAACCGCAAATGTCGCATGGTCAAGCGACTTGACCGTTGCAGGTTGGTTGCAAAAGGTCATCAACCCTGTTGAAATGGACATTTGCATAACCATTGAATGGGTTTCCAAGCATGAGTCTTCTTTCGGCTGGGCTCGAGGGGAATTTCAAAGGCGGCTAGAGGAAGAACTGGAAGTTGGCCACCCAGCACAAGCTAAAGGATGGCGTGTCCAATTTCTGCGCACCTCCTTTTTGGCTGGCGCTTAAAGAGAATCCTTTTTTGGACCTTCCCAAATGTTAGCCGCTGGCCAGGACGGCTGCAATGATGGTGGAGAACCCGTTTGCCTTCATCGGCAAGAACCCAGAAGATGAGGTCGCCAGAGAGGACAGGGCTGGGCCTTTAGGTTTGCTACCTCGGGCTGCTTCAGCATCCTGCTGGCTTTTTACATGTTCGCACGTTGCACTACGTTCAGGTTTTGCCTTCCCTTTACGGTGGACAAGGGGCTGGTCGTTTAGACAAACATGGCCAACCCTGCCCTGGTCTCAGGAGTTTGTGGACATGGTGGAGGAGATCAGGGAAGCGACAAAGCGACTAAGCCGCAAACTACGAGAAGAGCGGCTCGTGAGCTTTTTCCCGAACAGCAACCGCTATGGGCCTTTGCCCATCCCCGGGAGGAGGTTCGGGGGAACTTCCGGGGCTGCTGGAGATACTTTGTTGTCCAACAGGCGTTCCTTTTCCAATGTTGGGCTATCAGCAACGGACAGTTAGATTTTGCATCGCGGCAAGCCGAACCACTCAAATGAGCAGAAGCCACGAATTTCAAACTATGCTGGCAATTTGACCGTTTCCTCAAATTAGGGATCCACTCCTTGACGATGTTACAAACGATGCCTGCATGACACCGCAGTTTGGTAAAGGCACGGAATGCAACCCAACCAAGCAGGAAGGAGATTCTATTCAGGACGGCAGTGCCTTGTAAAGCCTTGGTTTCCGGACTGACTTTTAGCTGGCGGGGTGCACGAAGGCTGGCGCCAGCTCGGCTGTAGGCTAAGGGAGGTGAGCCTCGACCAGAAGCATCCCCTCTTCATCTCCTCCAACGGTGTCCTGGCCTCAGAGTCCGAGCGGCTCCGAAACCTTCGGTCCCGTAGGGCTCTCCCGTAGGGCTCTCCTGTAGGGCTCTCCCGTAGGGCTCTCCCGTAGGGCTCTCCCGTAGGGCTCCCGGCTTCACCTTGGGGTGCCTTTGGTACTTTGGTTGCTAAGGGAGTCAAAAGGAAACCCGAAGCCGTGTGCTGCGAACGTTCAAGGGTTGTCTAGCTGTTGCACACCGCGAGCATTCTGTCGGCACCCTTATATTTCCATGCCATCGAAGGGAGTTGCGCTTGACCTTTGTGGTTCGGGTTCGGGTTGAAAGCCCAGCCTTTTTCAGAGAAGATGTCTTGCGAGGATCACCAGATAACAAACAACAACCAAAATCAAACCTGGAAAGTTGCAGATTGGCAGGGGACGGTCCCAACTGCAAACAGAGGTAGCCACCTTTGTAGGATCCTTCATCTGTTTTTGGATATGTAGATGTGTTTGATGCCGGGTTTCGGTTGTGGCTCACCTTGATCTCGGAGGTCTTAGCCGAACCGGGGCCTTTCAGGGAACAAATTCACCTTGCCCGGATTGCCATAGTTTTTGGACTTGATGCTTTTCATTAAACCGATCCGCCAGGGCTCCTCGGGCTCCTCGGGCTCCTCGGGCTCCTCGGGCTCCTCGGGCGGCTTGTTGTCTCTTCAACGCCATCAGATTTCGGTTCAGCATCTCAAGCGCAACCCAGGCGCAGCCTCAGCTTGACAACTTCGGCGTCCGGTCTTTTGTCGCGGACTCGGGGTGCCGAGTGGGCGGTTTTTCCTTGGCTGGGAGCATTTGGAAGGTACTTGGGTTCTTACTTGCCAGAAGAAACATTCCAAGCCGGCTTGGAGACCATCCTGCGGGTGCCAAGTAGCCAGGAGAGCAGTTTGCAGTTCCAAGGGCACTGAGCTCTCGAATCTGGTTGCTAGATGGTGTCAACAGTTTGGTGACACACAGACACACACGCACACACACACACACAGAGATGCAGTTGCAATGCTTTGTTGGGGGCCATTGAGCGTGTGCCCTGGAGCTGGCAGCCAGAGTTACGCGGAAAGGTGCGCAGAGGCTCAGACCGGCTTTGGATGCGACATCGATTTGCGTGAATATGTGGATGCATGGACATATCAAACCACACAGGCAAGGAGCAAGGACGTGCATGGATATGCATATAGACGGTTGCTGTGCAAATGAACAGAACGTTAAGTTCTAATGGTGCATAGTTGCGAGCGTGCCATATACAACAACATATGCACACATCATAAAACTGTGGGGTGCACCGGTTGCTGCTTCCTCACGGGCGGCCTGAGCAATGGCTTTTGCCACAAGCAGCCGCTGGCAGTACAAATGCCCCTTTCGGAAAGCATGGATCGATGTCAGTACTGAGGAGGATCGCCAGCTCAAAGAAGCATACTGCTCCCTGCGAAAAGGCGGGCAAGCACTGGCGCAGTGCAAGATAGGGAATCTAAGGTTTGACACTGATTTCCGGAATATGATCCGAACCAACGTGGCGAGCAAACGCAGCATGGAGGTACGCCTACGAGACGGCAGTTTGCCATTCCAATTGCCCTTGGAGGGCACTGGCCCTTCAAAAGCATCCTTGGGCTTGGAGGAAGGTTTGAATGCGGAGAGGATTGCTCCATGTGAGCTGAATGGGTCTGAAGGCACGACAGTTCCGCATTCAGTCCGAAAGGCATGGGGCCAAGGAGTAGAAGATGGCATCACAATGAGCGGTGAGTTTGAGTTCACACTGGCAGCTTCAGAGAAGGACTTGTTCGGGGAGATGCTGTCGTGGCATGTACTGGCTGCAGGGATTTTGCCACAGTCGTTGGACAACAGGTGTTTAAAGTTTACAAGCAGTCAAGGAGAAGAAGCCATGGGAAATAAGAAGGACATTGCAAAAATGCTCTCAAGCTCTTCTTCTTACCCGATTCGAGTCTCCTACAAACCCCATCCAGCCTTCAAATTTATGCGGCCAGAGACTGTCATTGGCATGGAACTCAACCGGACGTTCCTTCTGTTCGTCAAGGAGGCCGTGAAGGAACTGGATGCAAACATCGATAATGTCAAGCACAAGCACCAGAAAAGGACCTTCGAGCGATACCTCCTGTATTTGGAGGACTACTATTATCAGACAGGTGATGATCTCAGCGACGCGATGGACTATGAGCGGCTCGTTGCGAAGCATCCCGAGCTTGAGTTCACCTTGTTGCAGATTAAGCGGACAGGGCCAGGACTCTCAAAGATTCTTCGTGGTGAGATTGATGTGCTCGAGTATCTCTTTGGTGGCGGCTGAAGCCGGCGCATGATGTTCTTCGGCCGAAGATGTTGCCGCTGCGCGGAGACAACCAAATCAATTAGAGATATTGCCAAACAACAATTAAGACGGATGCTAAGCCAGCGCCATGCATTAAACCGAAAGACTGTCACACATGTGCAGACACAGATGCATGAAGCAAATGGATAAGTAGATATGTACCGATGCGTGTGCATATTCATAGAGTCATATTTACATATTCATACACGCTCAACTCCCCCCATGATTTACCTTCTCTGTGTCATCCCTGGCTGTGTTCTGTCACATCTGCCAGTCCAAAATAATTTGCGCTGTCCTTGACAGCCATGCCATGTGCGGACTTGAATCAACTAAAGTGGCATAAGGAGCCTTAGCATCAGTCTTTAGAGGAGCTTTATGAGGAGCTTCATTCACCTGCAGGTCATTGTATTTAGTTCCTGTTTGTGTTCTGTTCCATCTACACTACGTTGTTCCACTTTAAAAAAATCCTTACAATAACATTTTATTGCTGTTCTATTGAACCTTAATCGGACTCCTTTTGGACAAGGACATCCTAGTTAACTGTCCATATTAAAGTTCTGATGAAATGATTTCCCTGTTAACCTCTACTAACACAACATATCGACATAAACATCATGGTTGGACAGGAATTCCTTTGAAATTCTCATTCCAAATAGGAATCCTGCACAACTGTTTGTTTCAGTTCAAAGGAGCCTTGACAGGATCCTTTCAGGAGCTTGATTCAGGAGCGTCATAAGAGGCCTTGTCAGGAACTTTACAAGCAGCTTTAAATAGAAGGACTTGCACCAGGACAAGGATCCTTCAAAAGGAGCTTTGTAAGGGTCTTTACAACTAGCCTTACAAGGAGCTTGGCATGGGGCCGTTTAAGGAGCTATAAAGGAGCTTACAAGGAGCCTTGGAAGGAGCCTTGGAAGGAGCCTTACGCGGCCTGAGTCAAGAACTTCAAGCCAGCTGCTTTAAAATCGAAATTCTGATTCAACTCCATCCTTATTCAATTCTATTTTCTCGTAGATTCAAATATGTGTTTAGTGAAAGTCCTATTTGGCCAGGGATTCCCCTTTTCAGTCTAATCTAGACTCAGGTCGCAGAATGCGCTGGCGTCAGCCAAAGATGTCAATGCACATCAAAGAACTTTTTGATTTTTGGGAGGGATAATGCAAAACACTGAAATAAAACCAAAAGAAAACAACAACCTCGAGAACAAAAATCAAACACACCAATCTGTGGGGGAGAGTCTTTGGTTTCAGCCCCAAACTTCCTTTTGCGGTTTTATCGTTTTTTGGCTTTCCCTCAATTTCTTAGGTTTTTCATTTTTCCTTCAAACACACAACGCTCGAGGTGGTCACGTGCATATATGTGGGGCCATGTGCTTTGCGTGGTTCGCCCCGTTTGCCCAAATCACTCTGCCCGATGACCCAGGGTGGCCAAGGCTGGGGGCTTGCTGAGCGCTCCCGTTTGCCCAGGTGAAAGTGGTCTTCAAGATAGGCTTGACGTACCTCACCTACTACGGCGCAACGCAGCAGGAGAGTCGGAGTCTTTCCGTGCAGATTCGAGTTGGGCGGGTTCTTTGGCAACGCTGATTGTTCCAGCTGTTTTGCGCGGGTGTCATTGAGGGACTGCAAAAGCCAAGCCATCTTGGTAGGGTTGATGCAAGTAATCAGACAACACATCTTGTGTTGTTTGCCATGGTTTGTGGCTGGCTTACTTGCTGTTCTCAGAATCTCCATTTGAGCATTACCTCTTCCTTGTTTCTGTCGACAATACTTTATCCGGGGTGAGCTAACTTTTGACCTGTGATGCCAAACGCGAAGGATGTGTTTCTTTGGCCAGGGACTCTCCTGGCTTACTGCCGCATTGGGTGCTTCCAAAATAGCGGGGATTGGGATAGCGGGGACTGAGGAACATCGGCCAGTTTCCTTGCACCAGGCATCTGCGAGTCAGTTGACAACTTTCGGGCTGCGGAGAGCTAACTCAAAAACCGGGTCGTAGGCTCAGCTGTCCGCGGCGCACAAGCTCCTTTGGCTCTTTGTGTACATGCACTGGTACTTTGATAGCCCGGGACCCAGAGATCCGATGGGGGAAGATTCAAGCCAAATTCGGAATGTTCACCCGGATGAGTTTGTTTGGCTTGCTTTCAGGGAGAAGCAAATGAGGGACGGCTGTTTCACCACAAACCAAGGAGTAAGTGAACAAAATGCTTATTTCCGAGCACCAGCCAGCTATGGTCAAACATTTTGTGCGGCAGACCCTCAGCCGGTTCTGACTGCGGGAGTTTGCCCACACCAGTTGCTGGCTCTTGCATACTCCTGAAAACGATCCAAGCCAGGGTCCCTTCGCAGATTCTTTTCTTCTCCAAGAAAGAGAGTACCATGTTTGAGGGCCGATCCCAAACCACCTTCAACACTATCCACTTCCTTTTGGCAACACGTTCCATGGGACTGCAACTTTGATGCTCACCGTTGTTTTTCCGTAAAAGTCGCATAGACAAGGCAGAATTCGCTGGGGGCAAACTTTGAGAACTCACAAACATGCCGCCAGTTGGGCAGCCTCGGAGAGGGATCCGATCACATGCGGGCTGATTGTCTCTTTTCGGTTTTCCTCCAAGCATCTAAGTAGTTAACTGCTCCAAGCTTATCCAACGTATGGGTGTTCCAACTGCTCTTTAGCTTGCCGGTTTGAGCTTGTCAACCGCGAGCAGCGACTTCGGGTCGGATTCGTCCCCAGTCTGCGTCCCCCAGGCTCACGGCAGAAGGTGGAACAGCTGCTTCGGCAGCCGCTGTGCTTCTGACTAGCGGGATGGGTGGGGAAGCAAACTTGCCAGCATAAACATGTTCCGGCTGTAAAGAGGGGACCCCCAATTTGGCTGTTTTTTCAGGCACACACACATATACATGCACATATACTTTAGAGCCTCCGGCTCAGTCCGCCGACATTGTCCTCTCCCTCTTCTCCTTCTTCCTCTCTCCCTTGTCTCCTCCCCTCCCCCGCGTGTTCTGTCGTCCTCTCTCCCTCCCTCCGCTCCCCATCCTCCCCATCCCCCCAAGCCTCTCTCTCCTCAATCTCCCTGTCTCTGTCTCTCTGTCTCTCTCTATCTCTCTATCTCTCTATCTCTCTATCTCTCTATCTCTCTATCTCTCTATCTCTCTCTCTCTCTCTCTCTCTCTCTCTCTGTGTCTCTGTCTCTTTCTGTCTCCCTGTCTCCTTCCTGTCCACGCCCCTCTACAGAAAAAGGGCACCCTTATTCTAACCTCTTTACTGGAGGACCTAGTCTCTCTCTCTCTCTCTCTTTCTCGCTCTTTCTCTCTGTCTCTCTCTCTCTCTCTCTCTTTCTCGCTCTTTCTCTCTGTCTCTCTCTCTCTCTGTCTTTCTGTGTCTCTCTCTCTCTCTCTCTGTGTCTCTCTCTCTCTCTCTCTTTGTCTGTCTCTTTCTCTCTCTCTCTTTGTCTGTCTCTTTCTCTGGCTCTGTCTCTGTCTCTGTCTCTCTCCCGCTCTCTCCCTGTCTCTCTCTCTCTCTGCATTGCAGCGTCACGTCCCCCCTGAGTTGCCTCGATGTCCGGGCACTGCCCCTTCATGACCCTGAACTGTCATCTCACTACTGGCTTCCCCTTGATTCCCCTTCATGTCCTTTTCACGTTTCCCATGACGTCCTGGTCATGTCCCTTCCATGCCTTTCAACTCCCCCTTCAGTTTCCATGCATGTCCCGTTCTTTCGTTGCGAGTCAGTTCCCTACATCTCCCGTCGTGCCGATTGGTTGCCTTGTCCTTTGTTTCCCTTTCATTCCCCCTGCACTCCCCTTGTTTTCATTTCTGTCCCTTTCAGTTCCCCTTTGTTTCCCTTTCATTTCCCGTTGCTTTCCTGTCATGTAGACTTCCTATTTCCTCCCCTCATTTCCTTGCACTTCCTTGCATTTCCCCTGTGCTCCCCAGCACGAAGACTACGTTTCGTGGAAGGTCATCAAATTACCGCGCGGTACGTGGCCCCCCGTCGGGCAGGGGGGGGGGGGGTCGGGGGGGGGGGGGGTTATCCTCTATGACTCTATCCTCTCTTAGGTGTCCGACACGCCGAGCAATGTCGGCGGATATATATATATATATACACGTCGCGATCTGATTTGGTTGACTGCAGTGTGTTGTGAGAGACCAGGGTCTTTCGCCTTCAGTTGGTGGAAACTCAGCACCTCAGGTGCACAGCTGTTGCTCTTTTAATAGGACAGTTGTTGTCTGGAAAAGCTGAGGTCGGGAGCTTTTGATAGGCTTGGCCGCCGTGGGTGATGATCAGAATGAATGGAGTCCAGTGGCCCTTGATCGCTTTGTAGGGACGTGGCGCCCCTTGGGGGGGGGGTTGATGAATTCAGATTTTGCATTGTTGCTGAAGACTCTCTCTCCCTCTCTCTTTCTCTCTGTTTCTCTGTTTCAAGTTTCAAGCATTGGGGAACCAACGCCCACTCCAGATTCAGCAGCAGCTCATGTAGAGAGGACCACATTGTTGTCAGGTATTTTGTTGTTGAGCTATGTACAACATATCTAGCCTAGCTTTGTTTTTTTGGCTGGTCTGTGATCAATTTGGAAGGACTCTCTCAATTTAGACTCATCTACGGTGTCCTGGACGGGAACCCGCACATGTTTTGTATTTGTGATTCATTTGTTTGGCCTTCCTCTCGTCTAGGCAGATTGCGCTTCAAATAGCACATGTTGTTCCTCTCGATCGTTGGCTATGAAGCCCCCAAAGGGTTGTTGAAGAGTTTGGCCGAGATTCGGTTGGGATGGTTGTACCCTTGCTCAACGGTCAGTTTAGAGTTGATTTAGGTCATGTGGGTGTTTTTGTTAAGCCAGCTGACTTTCAAGGCTGCTTGAGGGAATAGTCAGGGGACCACCAGCGGATTGTGAGGCATTGGCAGGTATCACAAGATTAGGGATTGTCAGGGGTCACCAGTTATTTTTGGACAAGGGCCACTTGGTGGGCTGGTTTCCGGTTTGGGTGTCGTACAAGCAGTTTGGCAGTTCTGAGGATTGTTGGTGGCTTGAGAGGCATCCAATTCAACTCAAAAGAAGTGTACTTGGCAGTGCCACCCTCCGAGTCCATTTGCAAAAGGAAGCCAACACAGAACTGGTCATTTGGACAAGTTTTCAAATTTGACACATACTCATGCAAAGTGGCAAATCCGGATTTCGGTGATTTTGTTTGCTCTCGTTAATGATCAGGTGTCAACCAAAAACAAAAGCTGTTTCAACACGGCCAATGTTGCACGATCTCCTTTCACTTGTGAAATTGGTAGGTCTGTCTGCAGTGTGACAACTTCGACTGGGCCATGCGAAAGAGGCATTCCCACCTGAAACCCAGCCAGTGTTCAATATCTGGGCCTCTTCTCCTCTTGTTGTCACAGACTCGGGCTGTTCTGTGTGGGGGCTTCCAAGGTGGTTGATCTCCTGCGCTTCTCTTGACACAGACACGACTGCGCATCCAGACAAGAACAGCCAAAAGGAAACCACATCAATCAACCAAACCGGCCAACTAACCAACCCATCAACCAACCAGCCAGCCGACCGACGAAACAGTCAAGGTCAAGCCAGTCAATCAATTAACTGACCAATCAATGAAGCAACCAAGAAACCAAGAAACCAAGCAACCGAGCAAATGAGCAAACCAGCAAACCATCCATCCATCCATCCATCCATCCATCCATCCATCCATCCATCCATCCATCCATCCATCCATCCATCCATCCATCCATCCATCCAACCGACCATCCATCCTCGTCTCGACTCGGGTCCGTTTCGCCAGGCCTCCCAGCCGGGTGCCTTCGCCCCAGAGCCCGATGGGGCGGCCAAGGTCCCGGCACAGCCGGGGGCCCTATGAGGAGGGCGCCTGAGTCTGTGTTTTTCCTATTTTGGGGTGTACTTGTTTGCTTGGTGCCTGTTTTGTTTTGGTGTGTTTACACCCTTGTTGCAAGGGTGTTCGTACATACCCTTTCAGACATACTTGGGTAAATGACCCCAATAGGCTTGCTGATGTACTTCCACCCTTCGAGTTCCTTTGAATTCTTTCTTGGGGGGGGATGAGGGAGGAGGGATCCTTTTTAGGGTTTGTTTTTTATGGTCCTCCCCACCTATGGGCCAATGCGAGATTGGCCCGGTCGTACTGCCGAGTAAAAGAAACGAGCTGAGGGCCCATGATGAAACACAGGACCTCTCCTTCGGACATTGTATGAGTTCGCTACGTATGGACCGAGATCTACACTGTCATGTTTTGTTGGGCAAAATCTCCGGGAATTCCTTTACCCTCCCAAAATGATTTTGAAGCAATCCGCTTGGCGCGTTCGAAGTGATGGCCTGATGTGTAGAGGTATGACTTTGGCGTTCTTTGGAGGTACACGTTTGGACAGTACCGAAGCAGGATTGCAGCAGTTTGCAACGCATGCAAACTCTGAATCACAAGGCGCCTCAGGAAGCCATGCAGAGCAGGTCAGTTATTGGCGCCAATAAAGTGTTGAGTACGTGCGTGCGTGCGTGCGTGCGTGGGTGGGTGGGTGGGTGGGTGGGTGGGTGAGTGCGTGCGTGGGTGGGTGGGTGTGTGTGTGTGTGGCGAGAAGGCAACCCAGCTCCACTTGATGATGCACTCAGTTTGGCCTTTGCCTTATGCTTCCCTTCCTAAGACTCCCAATTGTATTTGGCCCCTCAAAGAAAGTGGTTTGCACGAGCTCCACAAAGTGAGGTTCTCCATTGCAAAGTCCCGGGGTCTGCGTTGGAGGGGGCTGCCGTAAGGGCAGGTTCTAAAAGCTCAGTTTGGATTGGCCCACTTTCCCTAGGGGGAGTCCCGTCATTTGCCAAGAAGGGGGTCAATAGATGAACCCTCTTGGTGGTTCCACACGTGAACAACTAAATGGTTTAGGGAGGACATGGGGTGGGCCCCCCAATTTTGCCATGGCCTTTTGGGGCGGTGCACGGAAGCGAGGCGATAGCAGCGGCCGGCGCTACCCAAAGCACTTGTCAGGCCCTCATTTGGCCTGCAGTAGATGGACTTGCCAATGGGTCACCTGGGTTGCCATGGGAGACGGTTTGAAGAGGGAAGGCAACATGAAGCCGGCCCGCTTTTGTCAGAGAAGCGTGAGAGAGGAGAGAGAAAGGCCAGCTTCAAGACAGAAGTGAGCCAGGGCACTTTGCAATTTGTTGTGGGATCCGTTTTGCCAACATTGTCCCAAATAGAACGAGCTGCACAGCTACAGCGGTCTTGTGCCCCGGTCATGAATGAGGCCCTCTATGCGGCGCTTGCTGGCCAGACATCCCTACATGTTCATGGCAGTCGCGGAGGCGGTCTCAACGAGAGAAACATATGGGGTGGACGGGTCCGGAGTTGAGGCCAACAGGACGACTCACAGGTTTTGCGTGCCTTCTTTTCAGACCTTTGGGTTCCAACCCATTTGGATGCGGGCGCAGGCGGAGCTGCCGGATTGGGCGACGCCGGAGCGGACGGTGCTCCCGGGGGGGGGGGAGAAACGTGGTGGTCACAAATAATAACATGATCGACCTGCGCGGGGATATTGCAATGAACTATTTCTTTGATTGTTGGTTGGGGATGTGGGAAGGGAACCCCCTGGAGGACCATCTCTGAAGGGAACAACATGAAAGCAGCCACTTGACAGGCCCACAAGGTGTCATCACAACTTATGCCCCTTGACCAACAAGAAGCCATTCCATTCAGACGGTTCTCACCGCGTTTGATGCCAGGTGACCGTCTTGTGTTTGAGTGCACCCCCTGCAGTTGTATTTTTCGTGCTTTGTCAGAGGCTTTAGAAACATGCTACAGTTACTTTGCACCAAAGCGGCTTGAGCTATGGCGTTGTGCGTTGGCGCCTTTGGAGGCAGATGCCGTTGTTCAAGCAGCATTCAGTGGGGCCCTGAGGGCAGTGCATGCCAGCCTAATGCTATTGCTGCGGCTGCTGCAGCTGCTACTGCTGCTGGCCAGTTGGTTGTTTAACTGCCTCAATTGAACCATTTGGTTGGTTCGTTTGATTCTTTGCCATTCCGAGTCATTTTTGCACAATATTTGCTTTCATATTTCCAGTCCCTTGGTTTGAGTGAGCTGTTTATGCTGACCTTCCGACCCACACTCAGCTAACCCCTCATCATTTGGACAGATTCGGAATGTTGTTATCCTTTTGGGGCTTGATCCCTCAGTTCACCTTGTACCTGATAAACTATTTGGCTTGGTGGTTTCGGAGTTTAGGTGATACGTTCCGGTTTGTTTTCAACCGGCTCACTTTTTGTAGAAGTTGCTCCCGGGCTTCGGCCAGGACATTCGTGGTAGCAGTAGTAGTAGTAGTAGCAGCAGTAGCAGTCGTCGTCGTCGTCATGGATATTCTAGTATTCAAGACGACGTCGTCATTGAAGTAGCAGTGGTTGGCAGGCAGTACTTAGTAACTTAATACTTAGTAATTGGTACTCAGGAGTATATAGTAGGAGCTGTCGTCGTGGTGATGGTAGTGGTGGCAGTGGCAGTGGCAGTGGCAGTGGCAGTGGCAGTGGCAGTGGCAGTAGCAGAAGCAGCAGTGGCAGTGGTAGTGGAAGTGGCACTGAGAGGTGGCACTGGCAATGGCAGTGGCAACGGGAATGGCAGTGGCGGCGGTTTGTGAAGTTTATGCCATTATTTTGCAAGCACCACCATTGGTTCAGGGTAGGCCGATAGGAGGACAACACCCAGTGTTGGGGGGACACCCACAACGGTGTACGCTCCCAGTAAACAAGCATTGGATCTGAACATGGTCTACCAGGCGAGCTTAGTCAGGGTCTATGGCCTCGTTTTTGGGAGGCCATTCAATACGGCCTTTGGTTAACTCACTGCAGCCATTTTTGAGAAGGTATCCACAAAATTTCCCAACAGCCTTGCCGAGGCTATGCCCGAAGTCAGCATAGTCGGGCTCCCGGCTCGCAAAGTCAGAGCCAGTTGAACCCGGGTTAGTTTGTTGGAAACATGTTTGGGCACGAAAAAGTGTTTCCTGGCGGAGGCATGCCAAACTTGTCCTAAAGGAGGCACAAGATCACAAGGACCACACTGGTTGGACTTTGTTGCACCCCACTTGTGTGTGTGTGTGCGCTTGTTTGATCGCTTGTCCAAGAAGCCTGTTCAGTTCCAAGCCTTGGATTGTTTTGCCTTCAACGGAGACTTGAATCAATGCGGATTGGAGGAAACCACCATATTCCATTTCCACGCTCAAATGGAAGGTATCCTTTTGGCTTAGGCATTTGTAAAACGGGTCCAGTGCTGTCCCCATTTTGGGAACCATGTTTGCTTAAGCAAGATCGGGCCGGAGAGATGGGGAGTTCCCTTCAGGACGCCTGAGTGAGGAGAAGGATGCAGGCGCCAGCCGCCGGCAGCTGTCGCCTGGTGAGCTTGGCTTGAGCTTGGTCCTTGAGTTTGGTCCTGGCACATGATCAGCATTTTCCAAGAGCAACACGGCTGGGTCTAGAAGTTAGTTTGTTTCTGCTGGTTCCTGAGGACCTTGGAGGTGGGGCCGCTTGAAGGAGGACATGGCCCAACTCAAAAAATGTCAACTGAGTAGCGACAAATCGAGCTTCGACCCCTGTTTCGCAGTTTCCATGCCAAAGGGAAACCCAAGTGAGTTGATGGATGCCATCACTTTGCAGAACCTGACGCAAGATTCTTGCCGTTCCGAATATCCCTTTCTCTTGCTCGCCATCAAGAGCCAATCGAAGCAGGGCCATCTACAGAAGCCGCAGTTTCGACTTTGACTCCCTTGTCGAACCATACCTTCTTGATGTGGTGCTTTGGTTTGTCTCGGAAACTGGACTGGGCATGTGTTCCGCATTCAGGCGATGAAGGTACCGAAGACGAGGATGAGGAGGATTCAGAGAGCCCCCGAGGAGTGCTCATGCGTTCCTGTTGAGCCAACACCACACCTGAGTAAAAGGGCAGAAAACCAAACCATAAATACAAGTGTCCACCCTCCGCACAAATTGCCTGCGTGAATTGTGGCTCAGTTGTTTGGAGGCCAGTGATGTTCAAGTTATCTTCTTGCTCAACATCACCATGCACAGGGGGCCATCGTCATCCAGGGCAAGGAAGGCAACACTTGTACACACCATCCCACCGTGCCGTGACTTGAGCCAAAATCAAACCTGAGGCCTTGAATTGCCGCCATGGATTTCGGTGCATCTGTTTGCTCTCAGTTTTGCGCGCTTTGGGGGGGAGGGGGGGAGGAGATGTTCGAGGGAATCAAGAAGTTTGGGATTTTTTTCGGACAACTCCGCTGGAGCTGTTTCTGCAATGACTCTGAGGCAAAACAACCGCAGGTTTGCCTTTTGACGTGCGGGAGGGTTTCTGCACTGAACCTCTCAGTTCCCAGAAAGAGGCTGTTTTTTCAACAAAAAGATACCTCCCCCCCCCTCGCCGCAAAAGGGAAGGTTTCCTTTTGCCATGAACCCAACTGGCAGAGCCTCATTCGGTGCCTCTCCTCTGCTGAGGAGGACGAGTGCAGGAGGTGCCCGTGTTGCCAGGAGTTCAAGGCCCGTTTTGTTGGATTTGGTTTTTAATTGAGGAACACGAGGTATGGGGGACCCCAGTCGGTTCCGCGAGGTGATATGGCTTTGGAGCACACGCTTCTGAGCGCAGTGTGCAACCTCGTGGGCATCTCAGACGCACAGCACGGAAAGGCTGAATTTGGTGAAGGGACCGTGGGATTCCCCAATAAGGGGTGCCCCATTCAAGATGGAACCCGTCAAATGCACCAGATTCATGAATTGGCATGGTATGAATGGTACTGTTTGTGTTGTTTTCTCAGGCTGAAGTGCAAGGGTTGGACACATCGCAAAGCAAATGTAGTGCCACCCAACATGCGTGAATCATTGGAGGAAAGCAACATCAGTTGGGAAGATATGTCATAGCTTGGGTGAAACAATGCACAGGTCCCCGCAGGCTCACAGATGGATGGCCCCTGAGGCGTCACAGTAGTTCCAGTAGTTCCAGTAGTTCCAGTAGTTCCAGTAGTTCCAGTAGTTCCTCAATGAGCGAGATTGCCCCCAAGCACAAACCACTCACTTGCAAAAGAAGCGTGCTGAACCGTTTGAAGAAGCAACCTTCTGCAAAGAGTGTCAGCAACTTGCGCCGAGGCAGTCAGCGGAAACGCTGCTTAAATGAGGGAAGTCCCTCAGCACAGCGGAAGCTCTGAACGGCAAGACATCGGCAGAACGTCGGCCCCCGCTTTTTTTTTGCGGGATTTGTTCCGTGCCGTCCCAAGCGGTCCCAGGCCGACGGCGCGTGAGAGAGCTGGGCGCGTGGGTGGAATTCGCCGAACCAAATTCCATTCTGCCAAACGGCAAGTGGTGAACAACGCTTCCAAGAAGCCGTTGTGATTCTCGGGATGGGGCATGTGCGGCATGCCCAAAAAACTTTTGACTTTTGACCAATCGTCATGCGGACTCATCGGCATATCCAGATATTCAAGCTTCTTCCCTGCTGAATGTAATCGTTGTATTGTTTGTTGTTGTCAACCTCTTCGCCTTAGCAGGTTGGCCCGGGTGGTGCTCATTTCAGAAAAGACCAGCAGACCCATTTAACCCACAGCGGCTTTGTCAAGAATGGATCGGCCCCTTTGAGCTTAGGACGATGGTGAATACGTTTCGGTGGCTGTTTGCCCTTGTCAAAAACATGGCCCCCTTTTATGAACCTCCCCACAACCCTTCAAGGCAGCACTGATGTCCCCCTAAAACGGGACTCAAAAGCGGCCAAAGCCACTTCCTTTGGATACGGCCCACCTCAAGTTGCACCTCCAGGTTGCCAAATTGTACGCTATCAGCGTCACAGCGGTTTCATTTGGCCCCTCCTCTTTGGCCCTTTGGCCCTCGGGGCACTCTCTCTCTCTGTGTGTGTGTGTGTGTTTGTTTGTTTGTTTGTTTGTTTGTGTTTGTTTGTTTGGTTTTTGTTTGTTTGTGTGTTTGTTTGTGTGTGTGTTTGTTTGTTTGTTTGTTTGTTTGTTTGTTTGTTTGTTTGTTTGTTTGTTTGTGCGTGTTTGGGTGGGTGGGTTGCGTGAGTGGGTGAGTGTACGTATCTGCGGGGGCGCTCCCTCACAGCACCTGAAGTCAAGGACGGCATGGGCGTGTTTGCTTGCCGGAAGGGAGCAACTCAAGAGCCATCCGAACCGCAGCTGAGCTCTGGGAGAGCTCCAACTCGAACAGGGCCGATCCGGCCGACGAAAGCTTCGCGGTCTTCGCGATTGCGCTTCGCAGGCCGGACGGCCGGGTGGGGAGGTGGGGGTGGTAAAAAGGACCGGGAAAAAGCAGTCAAAGGGGCTGCAACTGGCAGATGTGGAAAAAGCATGCTTATTTTCACGATGGTTTTGTGCTGAGCATTGATACGCGTGAAAACGAGTTGGAGCCCTTTGTCCATTTTGAAAGTAAACCAACATGAAACCCATCGATTGGAGGTGTAGAGCCAGTATGAACACACTCCCCTGTTTCATTGGGTAGGTTTGATGTCCAAGTCCCTTTCTCAGGGCAGGTCAGCGAGTGGATCGCTTTGAGTTACCCTCCCACAGGTTTGTTGTTCAAATAGGCAGTCACTTTTCGAAAGGGCCCCGTGTACTTCCACATTCGGTTGAGGGAGGATGCTTGACCATCTGATTTCTGTGTTGCCCTCGTTGTGGCTGCCATTGCCCGTTTGGTATTTTACCCCTGTTGTCACGCCATAGCTAGCCATTGAAGATTCAGCAATTGTCATTTTGTCATCACGCCATTGTTAAGTGTAATTGTTGCATGGTTTCTCAATCCTATTGTGCACATTACCAGTAGCCAGCGGTCGGATGTTTCTAAAACACATAGGATCACTGTAGGGGTGCTTGCTTTTGCTTTGGCAATCCCGCTCGTCCTCATTGAAATGGTCATGGACACCTGCTGGCTTGGTACCTGACTATTTGTTGAGCATTATTTGCCTGGCGAACATTCTGTTTGCCAGGCTGTCTCTGTCAAGCTGACTATCTGTTGAGCTAACTATCTGTCAAGCTAGGTACCTGTCGAGGTCTCTGCCTGAAGCCTCCTGTCTGTCCAGCTATTTATCTGTCGGGCCAGCTATATGCCCCGGGGGCCCCGAATACGCGGCGCCCTTCTGGTTTCACGTTACCACCGTCCACCCACCCAATTTGACGCCACCCGCTCAAGAATGGGATATGTAGAGGAAACCCTTCTAAGTTAGTCTCTTCAAAGGGACACCAGGGCTAGAGGCGATTTTGCATCTCACCTCGATTAGCCGTTCTTTGACATTGCGCCAACGTGTTGCTCAAAGCGCTGACGAGGCCCGCACTTCCCCAGCCGGGCTTGAAGAATTTTCGCCATTGGCCATGGAGGCGGGTCGGCGGTGGAAGGGGGGGGGGGGGAAACAGGCGGCCTAGACCTTTTCATGAAGGTTTTGGTTCGGCTTGGGTCCTGGTCGAGCGTAGGCAGACGCCCATTTGAGAACGCACCAGCAGGTTTCTGAGCCGTGATGCAACACGTTTTCCAGGACAGCGGACGAATGGAAGCCTCAGATCACCGTAAAAGGAACTTTGCGACAATCCTACATGGGGGTGTATCTTTCAGGATAGACATGGGTAAGCTTTTTTTGCGCTGGTTTAATCGGAAACCAAAGGGACACCGCGCATGTCGGGTAACCGGGTAGTCCCGCATCTCCGACATCTCCGACGAGTTGACAGTGTCAGTTGCCCTCAGGAAGCTACGGAGCCGGCGGGAATCGCACAGCTGATGCAGGCGCGGCGTGAGAGGTACCCCCTTCCCACAAGGGGTCTTGCTCCCCCCGCCTGCAATAAGGGGCTGACAAAAAGGGGGGGTATTTACTTCAGATGCCCTCCAAAGATGGAGGGGATGTGTCAGGTTGTCAAAATCTGGGTTTGGCTTCTTTTGACCCACTTGAACCTTTGCCAATCCTGGAGTTCCGTGCTTTGCATAGGCGCAACGCGTGATGCAGCGCTACCTGGACAAGACGGTGGTTTGGGTGGGAGGCCCAAGGACTTGCGTCGGGCCATGCGAAGTAGCCCACCCTTTTCCGAGACCCTCCCCTCATCTCCCCTCATGGTTTATAAGGCGTATGCCTTGTCTGAACAGATTTGTCCGTTACTCCCTTACTCCTTGCGTGTTTGGTTTGTGGTTCCGCTGGGAAACACACACACACACACACACACACATGCTTTTGGCTGAGGTTAGAGTACGATGGGCGATTTTTGCAGCCCTGTTGCTGATGTTTGCCGTCGGGCCCTGAGAGGATGGAGGGGCTGCAGCTTAGGCTTGAATCTACATGCAGTTCGCACTACAGAAAACCCTTAGGGTGCCCGAGGCCAGAGTCTACCTGAAGCAGGGCTTCTTCGTAGTTTCGCGGCTTGGCGCAAGTTTTCCGAGCGGCAGAGTTGTACCCCCCCCCAATAGTTGGTACATGGCCAAAAGGGTGTACGTTTTGCATGCAGATTCAGAGTTTCTTTTCTTTCAGCGCCTGCTTTGTTTCCCAAATCTTGATATCCTTTTTTGGGTCCTTATGGGGCTGAAACTTAAGGCTCCTGTGCTGGGATGCAATCCAGGTATGGCCTGGGAATCTACATGCTGAACTTGTTCATCAATTTTCTGTCGCCAGTGATGCGCCCAGACTTCCGCGATCCCTGGCTTGCGGGATCTCGCTATTGGATTCGGCGCGTTTGGGGGGGTTGTCCTGTACTAAGATTGGGACTCCCGTTTTGGATGAAGGGGAATCTGAAAAAACAACCCACCCCATTCTAAGGGTCCTCCATTTTAGAACGCTCTCACATGTCTTTTTTTGAACCCCTTGCGAGCTGCGCTGCAGCGAAGGCTGTTGATCCTGAGACCGAAGATGCTGCTCTGCCCACTTCATCCACCGAATATCGGCCGCGAGCTGAGCCAGGAGTTGCCGCCTCTTTTGAAAAGCCAGGCATGAAGTGGGGGAGCACGTGAAAGGTTCGGAGGTTCAATCCACGCACGGCTGAACATGCAAGGATCCGACGATGGCTGGGCAGCCGGGTCATCATGAGTGCCAATTTCTTAATTGCCGAATGTCACCTGGCCGTCCCCAGCCCAAATGCGGCCCATTCTTCCGAAATTGGCCGAATTCTGCGGTCCGGCACACGTCAAGTTAGCGTGACCTTCCGTCAGTCCCCCCCCCCTTCCCGAATCAGATGCTCCTCCTTGTTTTGGCGACCGTCACTCAGTATTTGCCGCTGGCTCCCTTGGTGGCCAAAACGCGGATGCTTTGTGCTTTAAGATCTGCGCAAAAGTGGAGTTCCCAGGCTTTTCTTTCTGTGCCAATCGCGCACTTGAGTTTCCGCCCATGATGTTTACGTCTTTCGGCTCCTCAAGACTCCTTGCTTGCCGTTCAGCACGCGCACATTCTGCTTGCCGCGGCCAGTTGATAGATGGGGGGAGCTTTGAGTCTTCACATGCGGCGCGACCTCGAAGACTTGGGAAGCGAAGGGCAAGCCTGGTGGGGATGGAACATGAGTCATGTTCACTTGTTGTTTTGCCCCTCGCTAAACGCAACTTTGTGTGGACTTTCCCGTCCGTGGCACAAGGATTTCACTCAAAAACGGCACATGTACATGTTTGGTTTTCCCGCCCCGCTGAGGCCATTCACTCGCAAATTGCCAGAGTTCAAGTTCTGGTGGAGCGGAACTCGGGCGGCGGCCGTGGCGTTCGCCTCGGCCCTGGACTTTGAGATCGAGCCATGGATATCCTTTCAGGTCAGTTCGGTTGAAAATCGACGAATCCCACTGGTTTCGTACCTCAAATCATTCACCAGTGCCAGACATGTTTTCCAAACGACAGTTGTGGATGGGTTGGTGTCTGGATCAAAGTGGGGCCACATGTTGCATGGTGACTGACAGTGAAACAAGCAACAGCATCTGAAAACAGAAGACTTTGATTTCCAGGCTTGCATTGGAAATTGGATATGCGGGTGCCAATCCCCAGAGAATTCCCAAACATGTTTGAAGCGCATCCAGGCTCGCAAAGTGCTCAAAGGATTTCGGGCTCCCAAGATCAGTTTGAATAATGCTGAATCTCTAATATGAAATACGTATTGTTTTTGGGTTGCTCAACTGTTTCTAGGTGCTTTGCTCCGTTTCCAAGGAAGCAGCAAGCTTTTGCCAGATTGACCAGGCAGCACTTCCCAACAAACACCATTTGGCAATTGGAGCGCATGTTTTTTGCAGCACACCATTTGACACTTTCCACTGGAATGCGGACCATGAGGCAACACGCCATTTGTGCCATGTTCGAGGTGATGACATTCATGTCAGTCTTCGATTTGCCAGCTTGGCCCTCAGTTCTCACCACATTCTCCGTGCTCAGATATATACGTTGTTCCCCAAGAACGGTGGGTGGGCATGAAGCCAAATCTAAATGATGTCCATGAAAGGGTCCCCAAAGAGGGACAAAAAGCAAGAACCCAACAACCCAACAAAGCTGCTCCCAGGCCAGAGCCTCACTTGACCCGCCAAGACGCGAAGCATGATTTGTTCGTTCACCGTTTTTTTTTGGGGGGGGGGCTCCCTATTTTGACACATGGCCAAGTCTGCAAGCTTGCGATCAGCGGGCCAGCCGGAGGGCCAGCCGGCTGAGGTCTATTGGCCCATCCTCCTAGCCTACTTCATTTTGCTGTTAGTGACCTGGCTCGCAACACTTCGCTTTGCTTCAACTGAATGGCGAAGCCGGGGGCTTTGGAAGGGCAAGAGGGTCCTGGAAGGGTGGTTGCCTAGCCACCAGACCAGAAGGGATTCGAGCGACCATTGGGGCCTTAGTTTTGCAACTTGGACAGCGTTTGTCTTCGGGCCTTCCACAGGTGCTGACAATGAAAGACAGGGTGAAGCACATGATCAAGCACAAGTGCGCCGGGCTTTGAGCCCGCGTTTTGCATGCGTTCAGAGAAGGCTTCTGATCCGGCAGTCCTTGCCAGGTACGTGCCCTTCAACTTTGGAAAGCAGACCTACGGAGAGTTGTCGAAGGTGAAGGCTGCTCGGGTGCGAGCTTTGTTGCCGAGGGAAGTTAAGGGTTTGTCCTCGCTTTTCGGTTTCACCACGCCAACCTTTGACAGTTTCCCCAAGTAGCAACAAGCTCGCCTTCCAACGCACCTGCCTGCGGCAGGTCCCCGGTGAGAAGAATGACAAGTGACCAGAATTTTTCGTGCCAGGAAAACAGCAGGTGAGTTTCACGCTGTGCTTTGCACGTGCTGCGCTGCTACTTGTCTCTGGCAAGTGGAATGGAGCCATGGTCGTTGGAGCTGGGTTTTGGGATCGATTTCTGTGATACCCGGGGAATTCCCTTTGTTATAGCCATGAGGCTTCAGGATATTCCACTTTGGTATGGCAGAGAGCCTTTTTTCGACAACCGCGGGTGGAACCCGCGGCAGACAGACAAGCACTTCCTTGCTTTGGTGACTGCCTGCGGCGCATGATGCCGGTGCATTCAGGCTCCAGACTGGCGACGGGCATGGTTTGGCACGGACAGACTAGCACGGTTAGACCTGCACTTCTTGTCAGAGGTCATTCCCTTTTCCAGAGATTTGTTTGCTTTACACGAGTTTTTGGTTCCCAACCTTCTGTTTTTGGCTCCGAGCGCCGTTTGACTGAGCTTTACGAAGAAGGCCAGGCCGCGGCTTCCCAGTTCGGCCAAACTGTCCGGGGCACTCACGAAATTTGGGCTTAGCCTCCCTCCATTTTCCTCTTTTCGGCCTGGCAGACTGCCCCAGTTTGAATATTTGGGTTTGTCTCTTGGTTCCTCCTTGAGTGCCCCAACAAAAAAGAAAACATGCGGTTTCCCACCTTGAGTTTCGGGCTGCCAACAAAGGATGCCCTAACCTCGCCTCGAGGCTGATGGCCAAGAAGGATGCGGTGGCCCTCTTCAGCGAGGCCGAGGCCGCGCTGAGGGATGAGCAGTTCGAGGCGCGCTTGGGTATGAGTTTTAAAATAGAACCCCCTGAAGAGTGGTGGACATAGATCCCCACCTGAACGTATGTGTCAATTATCACGAAAGCTAGTGCTAGCGGGCTTTAGCTTAGCTTCCGGCCCCCCGCCGAGCGTATTCGGGTAGACTCCAATTTTTACCTAATATGATTCTGTCAGATGGTCCTCAGCCAAAATGTTGAAGTTCTTGGGTGCTGGAGCAATCTCCTTGAATAGCGACTCAGATCAGTAAGCCTTCGTTCGACAGCTTTTTGTCTTCCTGCGGCAACACCCGGATCCTTCGGTTTCCCAGCTTGCCCAGGGTCCCGGGGGCAGGACTGCATCACGGCGTCCGAGAAGGCGGTGCAAATCTTCGAAGGCCTCGGCTCCGAAGGCAAGCGAGCCGAAGGAAACCGCCGAAGCAAACCGAAGCACTGCACAAACAGCACCCTGAGCACGTGCACAAACATCAGCCCGATTTTGCAACACACACTTCACCTCTTTAGAAGTAAGAACCCCTATAGCTGGGTCCCAAGCAAAAGACCCGAGGCGAGCAGGGGCTGGTTGACAGCCTGCACATGCTCATCGACTCGCAGCGGCAGATCGCGGTGACGATGCAGGAGAAGCCTCAGAGCGCCTTGACCACCGCCTCCCAGTACCTCGAGAAGTTCAAGGGCAAGAGCCAGCGCGGCGAGGCAAGCTGGTGGGAGGGAGCAAGAGAGCTGTCAAATATCATGTTGCACTACTTGTCACTTGTGCATGCATGATGTACACTACCCGACTGCAGGCCTTGGGTCTACCAGGAAAAGAGTGCATGCTGGCTAACTACATTTGTGTTTGTGACAACAGAAACAACACTTGCACTTGCAGTAGAGTACCAACGTATTTTAACGTGGTAGCGGAGCTGAGATCCTAAACATAGGGGAGCTCCAGTAACAGCAGTAAGTACTACAACTGCACAGGCAACCACATGCCCAACTACTACGACACGCCAGGAGAACCAGCAGCAGCATCAGCACAACCAACTACAGGAGCAGACAACGGGCCCACAGCAGAGGAGACAATAGGAGCCACAACTACGGGAACAACACAGGAGCAGGAAGACGTCCAAAGGCTACACAAATACAAACTGCCACCACCGTTCTTCACTGGTGACTACTCACAGTACGAAGAGTGGCTGTTCAAACTACAAGCATACTTCGGACTCATCGACCGAGACTTCGACATGGTGCTACAACTAGCACAATGACAAGCAGCTACAAGACAAATTGAAGATGCAGACATCAGAGCCCACATATGCGACCCTACACAGGCAGCAAAAGCAGTAGACCTCTCACGAGATCTACACTACATCCTCATCAACATCTGCCAAGGTGCAGCAGCTACAGTGGTCAGACAAAACCGCTACAATGCCAATGCATGTGAAACACTACGGCTTTTGCACAGGTTCAGCCTACCAGTAGGAACACGCAGTGTTGGCTACCTCACCAAACTACTGGAACCTACATTCAATGAAGCACAATTTGAAGAACAATTCCTACAGTGGGAGTATGACATCAACCGCTACGAGAAAGACAACGGCACAGCACTACCAGATGGAGTGAAGATTGCAATGCTACTCAACAAGACTAAAGGAGCGCTTCAACAACATCTCCAACTACGCGCTGGACAGATCACGAACTACAACGAGATCAGAGCTGTGATCCTGGACTACTACAAAACCATATCTGCATTCTCAAGAGCGAGCTCAGCAGTTGGCACAAACTACAATGGTGGAACAGCACCAATGGACGTGGACAACATTTGGAGAAAAGGAAGAAACTACAAAGGCAAAGGCAAATATGGAGGCAAAGGACACTACAAAGGAAACAATGAAAAGGCAAGTGCAGAAGCGAAGGCCACTACAAAGGATTCGACAAATGCAGCAAAGGAAACTACAACAAAGGAGGATACAACAAGAGCAAAGGAAAAGGCTACTCAGGATCCAAGGATATGGATCAAGCAAAGGCTACAAAGGCCAAGGAAACTACAGCAAATCGAAGGGAAAGGAAACAACAACTACACAACATGCCATCGATGTGGCAAGCCCGGCCACTGGGCACAAGACTGCAGAGTGCCAGTATGGCACATAGGAGAAGGAGAAGAACTACATCCAATAGAAAATGAACAAGCAGATCATGACAACAATGAAGAACTACCTCAGGATGTGAACGACACCTGGGACTGGTACTACGAAGGGGAAGAAGGACAACACGAGGGGAACTACATGGAGGAGAACTGGAACGACTACGACTATGACAACAGCTGGGATTGGAATGACAACAGCTATGAGGACACAGCAAACTACATTGGAGGCATCAACGAGTCACACCTCACCATTAGACACATCAGACAAGCAAATTCACGACTACACAAGCATAAATCCAAATCACTACTTGGCAAGAGAACAACACACACAACATCATGGAACGACCACAGCAAGAGCTTTTCACAATTCCTACAAGAAGACAACTCACAGCTACACTTTGACATAGCAGCAGCAAGACAACCACAAAGGAACAAGAAGATTGAGGACACTATCACACACTACATCATGTACTCCAACTTCAAGTCATACCACCACCTGTTGATCGACTCAGGAGCATCTACACATGTTTGCCCGAAGGACTACGCACCAGACCTACCGCTACGACCTTGTGGAGAATCGGTTCCACAACTCTACACGGTTACGAACAAGAAGATTCCTGTCTACGGCATCAAGTACGTTCCCTACAAGCAGGACAACTTCAGGATCATGATACCCTACTACGTTTGTGATGTGAAGTATCCAATCCTCAGTGCATCAAGACTACTTGATAGAGGATATGGACTTGACTTCACTCCACGACACTGCACCATCACACATGGACAACAACAAGCACACCTCATAAGACACTCAGGACTTTTCTACCTACGAGCAGACAAGATCGATATCCCTACAGGATTCGACATCTACCCAATGACTACACACAATGGAAAATCCATTGCTGTGATTCAACCTACAGAGAAAGCAGTACAACAACAAGAACAAATCGCACCACTCACCCACACAGACCAAGGACTACGACAGATCCTTGGTGGAAACACTGACTACTGGAAACTTGATGGTGACTACGCCATCAGAGTACACAAACGACCACGCAAAGCACTATTCACACCACACAACAGCGGCTGCCCAATACCTGAAGGAGAACTAGATGATTGGCGACTAACCATCATCAACAGACAAGGGCAAGAGCAAGAACAACTACAAGAGAACCCAACACAACTTTCCAAGCAAGAACTACAACGAAGACTAGAAGGTGACAACTGGACTGGAGAAACCAGATTCAGAAGAAAGATAACACCTACACGCAGAGCAACATCAAAGACAACACCAACAAGGCAGAGCTCACAACCACAACGGCTAATGGACACACCACCAACCAGATCAAAGATCCAACTACGAGCGCCACAAAAGATATGGAGACCTAAAGCAGCACCTTCTACCAATCTTGACACCACACAACCAAAGGAGACAATCCACAGACCACTCACAGCACAGGAGGACAACCAAGACTACTGGGAAAGACAAGGTGAACACTGGACACACCACACAACACTTAGAACAACCCTATTCACTCCAACAGATGGACCAGGACATCCACCAATCAACACACTTGAACCTCACAGAACTACAATCACTCACAACAACTTTGGAGAAGTTTCACAACGCAAAGATGACTGGACAGTCATGGGCAGCGCAGCACTACCATTTCAATGGAAAGGAACAACAAGGTTCACCGTGAAGAAAGACTACGAGTACATCCAAGAGAACCACGATGAGGAACAACAACACGAGCATCACGAAGCACACAGAGCAATAGGACTACGACAGCCTCAGCAGCCCACTCCACAACAAATAGCAGAACACAACTTGACACACCTACCATACAGAAATTGGTGTCCAATTTGCGTTCAAGGCAAAGGACGCCAGGACAACTACAAGAAACAACAATCACGACAACCCATCATCCAAGTGGATTTTGCCTACATCAAATCACAACAAGATCCGAAGACCATACCAGTCTTAACGGCAGTTGATGTTACTACACAACTGTGCATGGCGGTATTGGTTCCGGACAAACCATCGATGATGGACTACATGATCAACAACCTACAAGCATTCATCTTTGAATGCGGAAGAACACACGGCATACTACAAAGCGACAACGAAGACACACTCAATGCGCTACTACAAGCAACAGCGTCTAAAGTCGGCTCTGTACGACATTCACCGTCCTACAGCAGCAACAGTCAAGGAAGCGTTGAGCGACTACATAGAACACTCCTCGGACAAATCCGCGTCGTCAAAGCTCAGGTTGAAAGCAACTACAGCATGACGATGTCCACAAAGCACTGTCTACTACCTTGGATAGTACGACATGCAGCATGGACGGTAAATCGCTACGTCATCCACTCAGACGGCTACACAAGCTTTGAACGCCGCTGGGGAAGAAACTACGAGCGAGCAATCTGCGAATTTGGCGAGACACTACTCTACCTTCCACCACAACACAAGAAACTCCCAAAAGCAGACCTACGGATGCAGAAATGCATCTGGCTCGGAAAAGTTTCCGAAACCGGAGAAAACTACGTCGCAACAGAATCAGGCGTACAAAAGGTACGAACAGTGCGGAGACTACAACCGGACTTCAAATACGACCTCGCACTATTGAACAAAGTTTCCGGCACACCGTGGGCACCACGACGGAACACCTACAACCCATCCTTCGCAACACTGTTGGATGCGCAACTACCACCGTCAGAGACAAGAAGGTCCACGCAAGATTTCGGACAACGAACGAACGCTACGGACGACATCGTTGCGGAACCCGCAACAAAACAACAACGCACCACACCACCTCCACGACTTCCGTCAACATCGACGTCAAGTTCACGACCACTACCGGATAGTCCGATGGCTACTTCACCAACCGGACGACAACATCCACCACTACCAGCACCACCTCGACAAACACTACGACGTTTAACTCGGGAAGAAGTAATGCAACCCACTTAAGCACAGAAGGCCTCAAAGGACACTACAATCAGATCAACGGAGCAAGCAACCAAAGAACCAACACCACTACGACAGAAAATTAACGCAGTGACACTTCCCAACGGCAAATTCATCACACCCTACACAAACGACGACACCTCAGAAGACCAACCCATAATCTTCGACAACGAAGGTTACGACGAAACACAACTACTGGAAGGAATGAAACACGAGTCAAACCAAATGAAGCTACATGACGTCTACGACGAAGTAGATGCGTCTACCGTCGACGACAACGTCATCAGAGAAGCGATACCTACAAGATGGGTACACAGAAAGAAAGGACCAGGAGTACGAAGCCGAATCGTCGCAAAAGGCTACACCGAGAAGATCGAGGACGAAGACTCCGTCTACGCCTCTACACCAATGTTCACGACACTCCGGACACTTCTCGCACTACAGATGTCACGACCAAACTGGATAGCGCGACTAGGTGACGTCTCTACAGCATTTCTACACGCACGCATCGCAAAAGACCACGACGGTAAACAACGTGACGTCTACCTTTGGCCACCCAAAGAACTTTGTCCACAACAGGACAAAATCTGGCGACTAAAGAAAGCCATGTATGGACTACGCAGTTCACCAAAAGCATGGCAGGACTACCTGGCTGAAGTGTTACAAAAGCTCAGCTTTGTAAGACTAAAGTCAGAACCTAACGTCTACACCAATGCAACTCGCGACTGCTACATCATGGTCTACGTGGATGATCTCTTGGTACTTGGTGACAAGACTACTGTCGACTCCACCTTCGAGGCCATCCAGAAGCAGGTCCTACTCAAGCACATCGGCTACCTCGAACCTGGCAAACCACAACAATTTCTTGGAAGAAACATCGACCACTTTGGCAACTACTGCAACCTGGGACTAAAGGACTCCTACATCGACAACATGATCGAGGAGTCTGGAACGAACAACTGCAACTCAGTGAGCGCTCCAGGAATTGCACACTACAAACCATCAATAGAAGATGAAGCGCTACTTGACCACGAACAACACAAAAGGTACAGAAGGATTGTTGGCAAACTACAATGGTTAGCATACACACGACCAGACATTGCATACTCCACAAAAGAACTAGCACGAGACCTCACAGCACCTACAGAACTTTCACAAAAGAGAGTCAAACATCTACTACGCTACTTGCACGGCACCAAGCACTACAAATTCACCATAGAACCAACAACAACACTCAGAGCAAACACCAACAACATCCTGGATCTCGACGTTCATGTCGATGCCGACTGGGCAGGATGCCCTACTACCAGGAAATCAACTTCAGGTTTCAACATCATCTTTTTAGGAACAACAGTTGCATTTGGCAGCAGAACACAAGCTACAATAGCACTCAGCTCAGCAGAGTCTGAACTCTACGCCATTTGCACAGGAGTTAATGAGGGACTACACCTCAGAAACTTCCTACTTGAAACCAACATTTGCAGCAAGCTAAATCTACGCATCCACACAGACTCCACAGCAGGCAAGAGCATTGCTACACGACAAGGCACTAGCAAACGAGCAAAACACATCGACCTTAAATTTCTCTACACACAAGACCTCATCAAGCACGACATCATCAGAATCCTCAAAATCAACACACTACACAACAGCTCAGACTTGTTCACAAAATACATTAGCAAAGAAACACTACAGAGGCTCATGCAGAGCATTGGCATACGTGTTTAGCACTACGAACAACAACTGTTTCACAACTGTTGCACATCAACCACAACAGTTTGTATATGGCCATATGTAACTACCTGCATTTAAGTAAGTATCAGTAACAGTAACAGTGACTACAAGTAATAGTAATTGTAACCACCAGTAATTTGCACTTGCACTTTTGGCGGCTTTTGTGGCGGCTTGAGTCAACACTACATGTTGTTTTGTGTTTTACTACATGCCCGCATGTGCTTTTTGTGAGCTAACATTGGCTCACTACTGTCTGCCCCGTTTCACTGCATCTCGAGAGGCCGAACTACCAGCAATGGCTGGAACTACGGTCATGGATGCGACTACGCTGGATGTCATGCCGATGGAGGTTACTACATCAGCGCCAGAGACTACTCTGCCCGTCGAACAACAGGCTGGCAGTACTATACCGGACCGTGTTTTCACACCACCGGATCGGCAGGGCACTGCCGACTCCAGCAGCATGGCTACTTTGGCCACACCACCACCTGAGGCCTACAACTCCCTCAACTACAACTTCAATCACCAACTACCCACACCGGCGCCTTTCTACAGACCCGACGACATCTTGGCACACCTCACTACAATTGAGAACAACATCCCTGACACTCCAGCGATCGACCCGGAGCAGAACTACTTCAGGGTCTACGTGGCTTTGACGCTCGAGGAGTTCCAACTACTAAGTCAACAACAAACTACACCCATCCCCGAGCTCAACTACAACCTACCAGTTCACGACCTACCTTCAGACCTACGGATGCCACACTACGACTCACTACCTCTTCACCTACGTCTTTCAGAGGCAGTCAACTTCTACTACTACAACCTAACATCACTACACCTCACAACTCAGTACACCAACTCGATGGTCATCATCCAACTACACATTCCACCAGAAGTTCTACTACGATTTGTCAGTGCTGGACAACTCATCAACTTCTGCCGCGACTACGTGAGCCACATGATCTCAATCAAAGACGAGCACCACCTACCTACACGCCAGCTACATCAACGACTACACCGAATCACCTACAACTTGGACCAGATCACCACTACATTCAACCTGTCCAACAACTTCATTTGGAACTACCACATGCCCCTGTACCTACCAGAACTACTCAACTACTTCGACCAACCACAACAACTTCAAGACCACCACTACAAGTCCATCAACACGATGCTACACAAAAGTGTCACCTACTACGGCATCACCCTCCTCACGGCTACAAATCTTTCCACACAACACAAACTACTACTCCACAACTACCTCACTACAACCGGCCAAGCACTTGCACCACCAGAATGCGACTACAACCGCCTCCGTGGCGGTCCAGACTTCCTCAACACATTCACTACCAACCACTATGCAGGCTTGGACTACCGCATCAGCCAAGTCCAGAACTACCGAGTCCAACACTGGACTAAGCACACCTAATCTCTAGGTGGAGCTGCAACTACGTGCTGTACTACGTCATCGTACTACGAGATGACTGAGAGCCATTTAGGGTTCTTGTACAGCAATTTCACTTTTTGATCATTTGAAGGTTAGTTGAACTACAGACAGCAGCGCTGTGGATACCTACCTTCGGTCATCTTTTTTTAAGAGACTACATGCCTGTTCGCTACAGTAGCATCGGCAAACAACATGTGCATTCGTTTTTGCCACTACTGTCAATACCACCTTTTGGGTCTATGGTTAAAGGACACTACAAGGTCTTTTAACCAAGGGGCCGTGTCAAATATCATGTTGCGCTACTTGTCACTTGTGCATGCATGATGTACACTACCCGACTGCAGGCCTTGGGTCTACCAGGAAAAGAGTGCATGCTGGCTAACTACATTTGTGTTTGTGACAACAGAAACAACACTTGCACTTGCAGTAGAGTACCAACGTATTTTAACGAGAGCGAGAGAGCGAGAGAGAGAGGAGAGAGAGCGAGAGAGAGGGAGAGAGCCCCTGGGCCCAAAGAGAAGCATGAAAAACCAGACTCTCTGAAAGAAAGGTAGCTAGAAGCCGAAACAAAAGACAGCAAACACGAAAAACCAGCATCTGTGGAAGAATGTCTGCCAGCTGCCTTTCAGAGTCGATTTCCTTTTTCCGATTTTCAGCTGCCTTTCTTTCCCAGAGTCTGGTTTTGCTGCTTTCGTTTTTTAAGGGTTTGTCAGGAGCATGAAGCGTACAGAGTAATCGCCCTTGGGTTTTGTTTTCGTTTTCTCAGACCCCCTAAAATTTGAATTCACCGGACATACCGGTAAATTAACTCTGAAGGTGGATTTTCGGGGGTGGGTGGGGGGAACCGTACATATTAATAATACACATCTTTGAGGGATTGTTTTAACGGAAACCAGAGGGCAAATTCTTGACGTTGGGAACCTCTTCCAAAAGAAGGGCTGGCATGGTCCGGCATGGTGCTTGTAGGCCGCCATGCTGCTCTGCCTGGCTGAGCGCCTTGGAAAACTGAGTGGCGGTAGCTCGAGCTTGGAAGAGGGGTCGTGGGTCGTGGGGGCTCAGCACAAATCTGGGTCAGCAAAGTTGCGGCCTGCTGAAAGAGGTTCAAGTTGCTGCAAGAAGATGTTACACCATCTCTTCACACGCATGCGTATTCTGTCCTCTTGGCCCAGCTCCATTTTGGGGCCCCAAACACGTTCCCTTTCTGGCTGTGCTCAGAGGGGGGTTTGGTCCCCACCCAAACAAGCGCGCCAAAAACGCTGGGTCGCTTGCCTTGGCAAACCAAAACACTTTGTTTCCCCCACTCAATTCCCCTCCGAGGATCAACCACGACAAGCGGGGCCGCAAGAAGCGCCAGGAGGCTCTGGAGACGGGCGCCCAAGCGCTGCAGATCTTCACCCAGATCGGGGACCAAAAATTCGAGGCAAGGCGCGAGACCCCGGGGGGAGAAAGAGGCTCGTGCTTAGCTTTTCTTTCGGAGGGGCGGCTTTTGTTTTCTTTCAATGTTTGTGAAATCTGTCTCGTCGAGACTCCCGACCCAGCAACCAACTCCTCTCAAGCTATGGGCTTAAATAGTTGTTTGTTTACTCTTCAAGCGGCCACGGTGGGGGAGAACAAAGTCAAGGAAAGCTTCAGCCATACTTGGCAAAGTGAAGTGACATGGGAGGAGTAGAGGAAAGCGCAGTGCAATATCCGGGAAACCCAGAAACAAATGCAGACAGTGGTAGCTATGAGTTGGGGACGCCACAGGCAGGCGTACACCTCAGGGTCATGTTTGCCAAGGATGTTCTCGACATGCAAGCCACCATGCAACATATGGAAACAACAGACGCAGGAAATCATCGCCTAGAGTACTCGACGTTTCCACGACGCAACCAACCCGCATCCAAAATGGATGAATTTCCTTTGCTTTCCCTTTACAGCAAAAACACCCCCACCCAAAGGGGTACCCTCAAAAAAAGACACCCGCATATAGCCCAAATGCCATGCCATGGCAGCAGCATACTGCTTCGCATGTGTCGTGGGGGATACTTGCTTTGCTAGCAGTCAGTTTGGATGCAGCTGAACGGAGCAAGGTGCAGAATAACACAAGCTGCTACTTTTCCGGCAGGAGAACGTTCTGGCGCCGCAACGAAGTTGCGATGACCTCGATGAGAAGTGTTGTCAATTGCACGACTCCGCCCTGTCCAAGTTTTTTTTACGTGAGATATGCAAGGTGCTGGGCAAACGCAAGCAACGACCGGTTCTGGACTTCGGATCCCAATGCATATTCCGTGGAACATTACAATGCACATCTCTTGCGCAGCCGGTGTCGCAGCAGTAGCTTCGATGCTGATCCTTTGAAAGCCAACCAAAACGGGGTCCCCCAAACAAAGCACCCATGTGCACCAAGACCCCACTCACTCCTCTCTCGCACACTGACCTTCCATGAGCTCAGCATTTCCATCTTGGCTGCAACCTGTATGACAGAATTTGGCCAGATGGGTCTGTGAGACTGATACTGCTTCGTGCCATGGGGAAAGTCCTGCTTTTGTGGGGTTGCCAGGGTCATCATGAATCCTTCGATTGCGGGGTTGAGCAACCAGCAGAAAGGCTCCGATAAAGCGAGCTATCGGGAGCTATGACCACGGCAGACAGACCAAGCTTTGATGACAGCCTGCCTGCCACAACGCGGTAAACATAGTCTGGCAGCTCAAGCTAGGTTTATATTGGTTTCCAAGCACCAGCTCCTCAACCCGTAAGTGGCGACAGTGAAGGCAAACAATAAGTTGAACTCGTCTTGTCACCCTTTTTCTATGATTTTGGCCCAATTCGTATCCTTATGCAGTTGCACTGTTTTTTGCGCCTGTTCCTTTTTGGTGGTGTTTCCATTTTTGACTCCCGGTAGCGGATTTTATTTTGGCGGGGCGGAGGCCCTGACGCTGATGGTGATGGCGATGGCTCACTACAAGTTCTTCATGTACGATGCCATGCTGGAGGAACTGCTTTGATGCAAGCCCCGATGTGCATCATTTTTCAAGAAGAATATGCTTTTGGCGGACTTCCGCCCTTTGTAGGTTCCATGAAACTGTTGTACTCTTGAGCAACAAACACGGGATGAGCACTGGCTGGCTTGCCAAGAGGAACATGTGAGGATACTTGGGGCTATAGATGACGTGACCCGGGACAACCAAACCTTGGGAAATTGGAGGGTGGTGAGGGATGCTCTCATTTGCTTAAGGCGATCTTGTTGTTTTCTCCTGTCATTTGAGGGGCATGATTTGTTTTGGAGGTGCATGGTATTAGTAGCACCTTCAGCAAAGAATGGCAAAGGTGTCAGGTTGGTTTCCTTCCACCTCCTACCCCACACCGCCATTTGCTCACCAAGAGCATTCCCACGGTAGTGGCCGGAGCTGAACTGTGCGCGAACGCAATTCCGAATCCTTCCCTGGCCTAAAGGGGCTTCGTCCATAGTTTTTTCTCACGAATTTCTCGAATTGGGTTGTGTGTGTGTTGTTGTTTTTCGTGTGCTGCCGGTCCATGGTTCATTTGGTCAAGGGAATTGGCAAGTACTGTCACCAGGTGCTGCCCACTTTGCAAGCCTTTGTGGCGCTCAGGCTCTACGCCTGGGTGCCTGGGAAGACTCTTGAAAGCTGCTTGCCGAAACACCACAAAATGTCATTCCTTTCAGGGCCAGGTTGATAGGTTCTCCCATTTGTTTCCGCAAAAGGCCGAAGTCCCGGCTTTGGGCTTGTGCCCGCGGCTCTTCGCGCGTGGGTTTTGGGTACTGGTTAGCGGGCGATCTCCAGGAGTCGCTGCGGGTGCTGGAGATCACAGACACGCTGGGGGACAAGTTCCTGATGGCCAAGGCCCGGAACCTCAACGGCCTGGCCTACAGCTCCCAGAGGCGGTGCAGGGGAGAGGAAACCAGCGGGAATTGGCCTCCACAGACGTATGGAATAAGAAAGGACCGGGACCGTTGCCGCACTGGTTTGGGGTTGCTTTGGATTGGCGTTCTTTCAGTTGTTTTCGGCGGATTGGGTTTTCGTCTTCTTTTTTTGTTGAGAGGCTTTTTCTTTTGGGGAGGGGGGGTGGGGGGTTGGAGGGTGCAGTTTTGAGACAGCATGAGCCAGTTCGTGGCTTGTAAGGTATCGGGCAAGAGCAATGGGCATTCCAGCTAGGTCGCTTTGGGTTTCCCTTGGGGCAGGCCCTGGTTTGAGTGGCAGGTACTCAATAACCCAGGAGGGGTTCCTCCCCCGGAAGAAGGAGTAGGGGGTTAAATGTTTTGGGTTCCCATCAACCACAAATTGGGAGTAGGTTCCATGAGTTCGCGTCCAAATTTGGGGGGGGACCCGGGCAGGTGTTTTGATTCTAAAGCAGTCGTTTGTGCACTTGGATTTTGGTCGTGCCTGCACTCGCTTTCGAGCGAAGCGGTCGTTTGTGCACTCGCCGAGCGAAAAAAAAAAAATAGAACATAAAACAAAATAAAAATAAAGAAAATGTGGTACGTTCCAGAAACGCGCAGCGACAAATTGCACTAGCCAGCGCGTGCTCGCGTTCACCTGTGCGCTCTCGGGCCAGATGCGCGCGGAGGTCGGGGCTGGGGCTGTGGCTGTTTGCGGGGCCCGTGCTTGCGTCGTTGTTTTGCAGGGTGTGGCGCACCCCACACCCCAGCCAGCCAAACCCCAGCCCCACCCACCCCCGCGCCCACAGTCACCCCACCCCCACCCCACCCCAGCCCGCAAACCAGCCCAACTCCATCGCCACGAACGCAATCCACTTCACTGCGTCCCAAAAGCGGTCGCATCCCCACGAACGCAACCATCTTCCCACCCCACCCCACCCCAGCCCGCCAAACCCCAACCACCCCACTCCATCTCACTGTGTCCCAAATCCCCCCACCCCACCCAACCCCACCCCACCGCCCCACCCCACCGCCCCACCCTACCTTGAGCGCGTACTTGAGCGGGTGTGCGCAGATGACCGGAATCTGAGTGCGCAGATGAGCCCCTCCCTGGGGACCTTCTTGTTTTCCTTAAAACTACCTTAAAAGAAGCACGCGCCCACATCAACCCCTGGTTGCCATTGCCAGGAAGGTGGACGATGCCTTGGAGCAGGGGAAGGCCGCCCTGGCGCTGTGGCGCGAGCTTGGCCTGCGGCGCCACGAATCGAATCGAGTCGGGTGAGGAGAGCAAGGGAAACCTGATTTAAGGAGGTTGTTTTTTAATACAATTGGTCGGTCTTGGCGGGTTTTTTTGGAAGATGTAAACCTGAAAGGCGGTTAAAGGTGTAAGGTGTCGTTGTTTTGGTTGGGTATCTGAAATGGAAGCTTTGGCTTTCGCGAAACAAAAGTGGGGAGCCCCGTCAGCTTTTGCATGGTTTTGAAAGAACAAACTGAAGAATCAATAGTTGATTTGGAGGGTGCGAGCTGCAGCATGCAACGTGGCCACTCGGATCGGCGCAGGATCTTGCGTGGGGCAGGTGTCCGTTTTAGTATGCCTGAGCATGGAAACAACTTGTCTCAGTTTGATTCTTCGCATTTACATTTGCCTTCATTTTCCAAACTGACACATAGGCTGGGCCCCCTCGAAATCTCCACGTTTTGAGAACGAAGAAATAGGCTTTTGCTCACAAGTCAGACATTTGTTTGATCACGGGTTCGTCTTCTCAGGCGATTAGGTTGTCCCCTGCTTTTGCACACAACCAATCCCCATTTGAGTCGAAGGAAAACACTGAGACTGGGTTTTGTTATTCTCCATGGTGAGGCCTTTGGGCTCGTGGGTGGCCAAAAATTGCCAAAATGAGGTTGTCTCAAAATCAGGGTGGTCGATCTCATCCCAGGCGCCAGGAGGCGGTCCAATGCCACGCCATGGCCGGATGGTTGCTCTATGGGCGCTGGCCGAAGAAGGCCCTGGCGCTGGCGGAGCAGGCTGGAGGGCGGAGGGTGGGAGGTGCTATGACAGACAGAAAGGTTTGCTTGAAATGACTGCCTAGACACGTATGGCTATGAATTTCAATTGGGTAACCAACATGGTTGATGGACACAATCCCCACCGAAAGGATGCGTATAAAAGCGCTCCTATCTCAAATTCGTACCCATGGAACCTGGTCTGTTTCTTGGGAAATTTCGGGAGATTTTCCTACGGCAGACCTTGGAGATCCTGCGGGACATCGGCCCCGCTGGCATCCCCGGGGGCTCCAAGCACCGCCGCGAGGCAAGCGAGCGAGAGAGAGAGAGAGAGAGAGAGAGGGATGGACCGATCTGGGTGTCAAACCCCCCCCTCCAAAGATTGTGGTTCCTTTTTTGGCTTCCTTTAAACCCCTCAAGCACAGGTGGCATCCCCAACAGTGTCTCGTTCCAGGATTTGGACCCTTTGTCCGATTTGCCCGCAAAGCCAGGGTCCTCCTGCATCAGAGGGGGAGTTGTGTTTCTGTTGAGGGCACCTTTCTCCCCAACTGCTGAAAGCCTTGGGGTCCCCCTGCCCAGATAGGCTCCGCGTATTCCAGTGTGGGAAAAGGCGAGAGAGCCTCAGAGGGTGTCGGTGGCAGGCTGAGCACACCTGCACCGACAGAAGGTGGACTGAGTAAATACTCTCTCAAAGCAAACCAGGTATCACTTTCCACTTGCTCACGCCTGTCGCACGGTTACCGAAATGGTGGAGAGAGAGAGAGAGAGAGCAGGTAGATTGAGTTGCCTGGGGTGCAAGTTGGAGTTGCAAGGAGATTGGGGGCCCTCGTTTGGCGCTGGTTGGGCTCGGAACGAGCTTCCTTGGGGTCCAAAGGAGTGCCAGAACATGGGCCAAAGAGCGGGAATAGTCAACAGTGGAGCCTGGCCACTTGGGCGAGCCAAAAGCAGGGGCACCCTGTTGTGGTTTGCCTGACTTGCTTTGATGCATTCCCGCTTGTTGACATGTGGTGCAGACCCTGGGGACAATGGAAAGGATTCCGCTTCGGCTTGAGCAGAAGCGGCAATTCGAGCTCATGATGCCGGCACATTTTTTTGGCTGCTCCCAACAGAGAGGGAGACGTGGCATCTGGCGCCTCATTGGACTTGCGAAACTTGACAGGCGATGAGCGTGTACATGATCATCGAGATCATGGCAGAGTTGAAACAGTGGCTTGGAGCTTTTCTTGAGGATCTTCAGTTGGATTCGTCAAGGGTTACTCCGAAACGAGGAAACAACGAATCCGACCTTAGACTAACAATCTACCGGGTGCTTTAGATCCCCTTCAAGTGGCTTTTGGATGCCGGGACAGGTACAAGCCGGCGCTGAAGTTTGCGAAGGGTGCCTTCGAGCGCTTCGGAGAGCTGGGCTGCAAGCTGGGCCAGGGCATGGTGAAGGATGCCATGGGCAGGCGATTCGCCCGATTCGGACTGGGGAGAAGTCGCGGATTGCCCGGGCCTTGTTTGTGACGCCCGAGAAGCCGACTGTAAACGCCCGTTTTGTTTTGAGGGGAGGGGGTGATTTAGTGACAAAGCCGAATGAGTTGATGTTGAAACTGGGGTTGATTGCCATTTCTAAGCAGGTGGCAACGGGCGGCAACGTCTGGCAACGGCACAACCCTAGCACAGGGAAGCGAGGGATGTACGGGAGCATCGCGAGAAACCAGGAGATCGAAGCGTATTGAAACGCAAAGAGGAAAGTTGCTGTTGTGTTCTTTCAACCGCAAAGGGGGTGGGGGCACTGCCTAAATGAGTCGTTAGTCGCTGGTATAGCTGTTGCAAGGTTGGGATGATTCAAAACTGTGGGACGCTTTTAAACCAAAGTTGGAAGGACACCGTTGCCATTCGCTTCGATTCTTGTTTGGTCAGTTTGGAAAGCCATTTGCCAGGGTGTACATCGTCATGGACAAGCCCGACAAGGCGCTTCAAAGGGTGGCCGTTCGAAGACTGGAAAGGAGGGCAGATACCTTGTGCTTGCTGAACCCAAAGCATATCTACCCCCATTTGACCTCGCGAATTTTCGGTTTTGCCACTTTCAGTTTTTCCTACCTTTCATGTCCTGCACTTTGTGGGAGAAGCGACCTTGTATTTGTCCCCCTTCCCCCATACTTCCGGCAAAACACTTGGGACATGGTAAGCTCCCCGAGGCATTGAGGTGGGTATGTGGACAAACCCAGACTTTGCGGATGAGGGACCGATCCCCAGCTTTGACACGAATGTGGGTTTGTGTTTTTCTGTGGCTCAATGGAAAGCAATATGCAACCGCTCATTTTGGAGGAGTCCATTGTTTTGAGACCAACCCATAACCTCACGGATCGGGTCGTGAGCTCCAAGGCCATTGAGGCGGTGGACGAAGCCCGAGCGATTGCAGACAGCCTGGGTGACAAGCGCTGGAGCGCGCGCCGTCCTTAGTTCAGGGCGCCAGCTGCGTGTTTGACCCCTTGTCTCGCGTGCAAGAGGTTGATTGCCGTTGGTCGGTGTCAAATACATCGGACGGATCGGTGTATCGTTGTATGTTTGGGTCTTGCTGAAAAGGCTGATGGTTCTGCGCTGCAATCCCAGCGGCACTGTGATCAGCTGAATTCTGCAGGGGTCACTGGATTTTTTCTGAAACAGTTTCTATTGACATGGTTGGAGGTCCAAAACTGAGGGACCATCACTTGGTGGAGGAAGATGCACATGGAGTGCCAAAAACAACAATTTCTAGTGCACTCTCCCTTTATTGGTACCTGTTCTGACATCATTTTGTAGTTTGGGGTTCAGGAAATATGGACCAGAACCTGAACACATCAGTTTTGGCTGGGCACAAGCTGAGGTACGCTTTGGGGTTTGCCACACCTAAGCCCCAAGCAACCCATGGCCTTTCGCGGCTTTGAGGAAGCTCCTCTTCGGGGTGGCTCAGGCGCACATGAAGGCCAAGGAGCGGGGACGTCACTCCGAATATGCCCATGAGCGAATGAGTACGGGATGTAGGGCACGGATGGCCGCTTTACACAAACAATGGCCAAGCATTAAGCGGGGACAGCTGTACGTGTGACGATCTTTGCGAGATCGTGCCCTCGAGGCAAGGCACGCTTTCAATGTTGTGCTCAAGCTTTCCCATGGTAGTGTGGTGTCCGTGGCGAAGGTGTGCGCGTTCCAAGTGCGGTAAGATCCAAGTATCACTGGATTCTGATTGCTCAGGTTTTTCAGTTGTATGTTCTTCTTTCAAACTTATAAGCAAATGGGCATGGCCATGACTGATAACCCTTAGCAATTTGCTTGTGTCACGTGGAACGGCAGGACACAAATGAGGCAATCGAGACCTTGGACAAGACCATCAACCTGGCCCAAGCAGCTGGCGACCAGCAGGCGGAGTTTAAGGGGGCCTGAGGGACAGCGAACGGACTGATATGGGTTTGTATCAAAATGGCGGAATATCAATTTTGGTTTCCCCTTGAAACTACCGAAAAAAGGGTACCCTCCAAAGCAGAGACACCCACCCATATGCTATGAGTATGTCTTGTTTGCAATGGGAATCCACCCATTTTAGGGGTTGCCACATTTTGAGACAACCTCAAATATGGAACCCGATCAACGAACCTCTGTATCGTAAACGTGAGGGGAGTTTTGAAGACAAGAATCTGCATTGAGCAGGGGACCCCTTGTTCAGTAGTCGGATGAATGAGGAATTTGCAAATTGATAGCCAGCGCTTGACCAAGCTTACGAAAGACGATCGGTGGGGTTGGGTGGGTGGGGGTCCTGCCCATGTCAGCACCCATTTCTTAGTTTGGATGGACGATCAGCTTGTCGTCTCTGTACTTTGAGGTACAGGGGGGGGTCCGTTTCCCTTTTTGGAAGGATCCAGGGTATCGCTGGTTGAAAACCGGTTCCATCGGCTGATCGGTTCTTCTCGCCTCTTCTCATCCTCTTGGGTGAATCCTCTGAAAGATTAGCAGGAGACTGCGCGCCTGCAGCAGAACCTGATTGACGCGCTGCTCTTCCGGCAGAGGCACACGAGCCGGATGTTTATTTTTGTCGTCCTTGGTGCTTGTGGTTTTGAGGGCTGGCTGGCGGGTTGGCTGGCTGGAGGATTGGTTGGTTCATTCGTTGGTTTGTTGGTTGATCGCCGGGTTGGTCGGTTGGTCGATCAGGGGGTGTGGACGATTTGTGTCAGGTTTGGGGATGGTTTGACAATGACTTTACAGCCCTAAAGCCAGAGCCAAAGCGGCTCCGAACCCGGCACTAAGTGGGTGTGGCTGGTCTGCTGCTAGATGCGTTTTCCAATAGCTTGTGTTTGTCTGTGTGTGTGTGCACGTGTGGGGTCAGAAGGTTGAACCGCTTGCTTTGGCTGGGCCAACAGCACTTGGGCCTGTTTCAGTAGCAATCCAGAGGTTTTTAGCGGTCACATTAAACGGCAGACCAAACCGACCCTTGGTGGTTATCGATTGTTGGTGGGATTTGAACTTCTGGGGAAATGCCTCCAAACCGACAGTCCCACCACTTTGAGCCCGGAACGGCACTCGGAGGAACCCCAAGGCGGCGCTGCGGGTGGCAAAGGAGGCGAGGACCATGGCGCAAAAGAACAGCGACAAGCGGGCGGAAGCCATGCCCCACGGCAACCACACTCGGCGCCGTTGTTTTGTCTTTAAGGCCGAGTTATTTGTCTTCAAGGCAGAGGTTGTAGGACCCGAAGCGAAGCTGGTGCTCTTGCATGTAGGGGAAAACGAAAACGGCAAAGGCTCACCCAATATTGCATGTTCCCTCTGGAAGGGGGTCCATTCCCAAGTTTGATTTCCGATTGGTTTCATATATTTTTTTCGTGCCAACACACATTCAGAGATTGACTTTCAAGCCAGCGCACAGTTGGAGGTTCTTGTCAAGCAAAATGAGCTCACTGCGGATGGTCGCTCTGCGCTGGTGTCACGGTAATTCCTCAGCCAAGAGGTTGCACCTTCCCCAAGAAAGTGGACTTCCTCAAAGCGAGACACACAGGTGAACCCCCGCACAAACGCAAGACATGCTTATAAAATCAAACCTGTCGTGAAACAACCAGAGACATGAAGATGCCAGTGAGAAGATAACCGGCATATGCGGCACATGATAAGAACATACCGCAAGAGCATTGCGAGAGGAGAACTCATCCGAGCCCGGGGCTCGGAGTGTCGCGTTGCGTTCTGAGGGCCATCCTGCGGGAGGCGATGGCGCAGGGCTCCATGGGCAAGCGAGACGAGGCCTTCTCGCGGCTTGGCCCCTCCGAATCTCTCGTTCATGCATGTAGCAGCTTGGCGGCCTTTTTCAATTTTCTTCAGATTGGTTTAAAAGAGGGTGGGGTACCCTCCTTTTGAGCTTGTTGTTCTTCGGGTGTGAACCTTCTTGAGCTTGGGCTTCTTGCCAGAACTTGAGACCCGTGCACGGTTTTCAGGTTGAACGGGTGACCAGTACGGGTGAGCCTTGGGTCTGAGGTTGGCGAAGCAGGCCCAGGAATTCTTCCAGGATTCCTACTGGCCTCGCGGTGAGGCACGCGATGCTATTAGACACCGAGGGCGGGAGGGCGGGAGGGCGGGAGGGAGGGAGGGCGGGAGGGCGGGAGGGCGGGAGGGCGGGAGGGCGGGAGGGCGGGAGGGCGGGAGGGCGGGAGGGCGGGAGGGCGGGAGGGCGGGAGGGCGGGAGGGGTGTGGCGGTGTGGGGTGGGAGAACATGATCCGAAAGAAGGCCAAACCCTGAATGCAAAGGCCCTGGTTGTGGGAGGGTCTGACATTTTGTGCCAATGATTAAGGGTCCTAAGGCATGACTCTGCAAGTGCTCGCAGTGAGATGAGGGATGCGGGCTCAAGAATTGGCAGACGGACGGGGAATTCGTCCATTGAACAATGAGGCTCGTAGATGATTGTGCTTGCAGGGTGGATAGCCTACATGGGCTTTGTTCAAAGGTTGCGAACAGGCGGACGTCAACCTGAAAGCAGGCAAATCCGTTTGCGAGGGTCTCGGGTCGCTCTGGCACAGGCACTTACCTTTTCCCAAGCGGCCCGCGCCCCATGTTCCCCCTTTCCTTCCAGGTTGATAGTTCTGATAGTTTGTTTTTTTGATTTTCACCTGTCAGGCCCAGTGCCTCCACTTTATGGCGGACTTGCGCATTTGGGCCCGCAGAAGGGGTCAGGGCGGCGTCGGTTTGGGAGGAGGGGGGAGGAGGAGGAGGGGACCGGGTACGGGCAAAAAGAAAAACAACGGATATTCGTTGAATTCCTTGGTAAACGTGCCGTTGACATAGGTTCTTCAATCTTGAGACTGTCCGGCGTACAATTCAGAGGTCCAAACAGAGGGTCACCACCGTGCTTTGTCCCCAGAGCCAGTGATCGATCGTTCTTGGGCTGCTGACTGGGTCCACAGCAACACCTCTCCCCGGGAACTAACATGGCCATGTGCCCAAAGGAGGGATCCCTCAAATGCGTTGTTCCCTTTCGGTTTACCCTTTACGGGCCAAAAGGGGGTTTTCAACATGTCTCCATAATATAGAACCCGACACCTGCCCGTTTCGTGTCAGGAGAAATCCTCGATTGGTTCCCCTTTTTCAGGTTGCGTCTTGGTGGTACAAAAAGGCACTTGTTTTGACGGATTGGAGGGTGCTGCCGAGCTGTTCAGTGGCAGCTCTTTTTCCTGTCGAGTGCAGTCGGGACCAAGCTTGAAGTTTTATCTCTATCAACATGGGCCGCCTTTTTGCCGTCATGACTACACCTGTCGACTGCGGTCCGTTGGGCTCAACAACTCCCTCATTTCACACCGCCACGGCATCACTTGACAACACTGGTTGTACGTTTGATTTCCTAAATATTGCAGGAAGCGAATCGGCGCAGCCCTGTAACTTGCAGCGGTTTGTAGGCAAGGTCTTTTTGGTGGTGAACAACCAAGTGGAAAGTGAGTGTCTGATTTGTATTTGGTCCTTTGTGGACGGACCACTCTACCCAGGAAGTTCATTGTGTGTAACTTTTTTGAGGGTGCCCTTTTTGGGGTCGGTTTCACTTTCAGTGGTTTGTTTCGAACCTGGGCCCCGAGTCATTTCATCTTGTGTTTTTCATTTGCAGCTTCCTATGTTGCTTTGCCTTGCACTGCTTTTGTTGTGCTGGTGTACTCCCGTCCCGTTTGCGTTTCGTTTACACACATTTCATTGTTCTTCTCTTTCCTTTGCTTGTTGCATGATGTGTTTGTTGCATTTGTTGTCATTATTTGGTTAAGCGCGAGACATGGACATAATGAACATGCAGTGTTGAGTACTTGCGTGTGGAAAGAATGAGAATGCGCCTTTTCCGTTGTTGTTTGCCCCCCTGGAAATGTTCGTAGTCCCCGGCCTCGCTCGCCCGTAGCTGGAAATGGGGGGCATGGTAAGCTCGGGGGAACAAAAGGCATGTCATGAACGCGCATGTCCGGTATTTGCGAGCAGAGACATAGTACTGGGCTTCCCCGGGCCGACCAAGAGAGCACCAGAACAAAAACAACTGCCGGTTTGCTGGAACAATCTGGAACAAAAACGGAAAAAAAACCAACAAAAACGTCCCTTGCGGACTGAGGCAGTCAGACCGGGGACCTGGAAGCCGCCTTGGAATGCGCCGAGGAGCGGCTAGCGGTGCTCCGGAGCTTGCACGACCTCACCATGGAGGCCGAGGGAGTGGGGGAGTTGGGTCCCAGTTGGGTCCCAGTTGGGTCCTTTCGACACGAAAACCTGTCTTGTGGGGCGAGACGCAAGGCGCAATGGAGGTCACGGAAAGGCAGGCTCAGCGGCTTCCCTCAACTGGGCTCAGAGGGGGCGGATGGTAGGGTGCAACAGTTCCTTTTTTGAGTTTAGTTTGAAGGGAAGCCTTTCATAGGGAAGCCTCATATTTGGGAGGGGGCATTTTGAGACTGCAGAGACCAACCCAGATTGCAAGTGAAGCATCACACTAAACGCCCAGCAGCCAATCACGGTTACTGCATGGGTTGCATCTTTAGGGTCCACCTTTCTCCACTGAACATTGCCGAAGGAACCCAACAACATTCCTCACCCCTCAAATGAATGTCCCAAGTGGATGATTGTCAGGATTGAGGTTGGTTTTCAAGGGGTATCTTGCTTGCTCTCAGCAGCAAGATTGGTTGCAAAACTTGCTTCAAAACTCGGACCATGTTGCCCTTTCTGAACATAACCTGCACTGTTGGTCATGACACGAACGAGGTACCATGAATCAGCCACATGTTGAGTTTGTTTGTGACACACTTGTGCATATGCGTTAGATGTTGCCTCCGCGACTTGAGCCACATGTAATAGTTGGTTTGGACTACAGGAGGACTTGCAGGATGAAGGTGTTGGAGTCGCACTTCTTCTGTATATGTAGTCTTAGTGCCTTTGTAAAGGGCATCATTCACTGGCTGGGAGGACCGGACAGGACTCAACAGATGCCTCACAAGCAGTTGTTCCCCTGAATTGGTGACTTGGTGCCTTCCCCTCCCCACCAGCGAGGAACGTGCCAGCATACTTTTGGTAACTGTCAGCCTTTTTCGGATGATGTGATTGGTACATGTAGTTGGTGGTAAAGCCCAACTTGGACAACCAGCTCCTACTGCTGGCCAGGAATCCAAATGAGCAGCGATCAAAAATGCTCAAAGCAATTTAAGTAAGGGAGCGCTGAAATCAATCCGCGCGGAAGGTTTTCCGCAGGCCGCTTTTCACGAAAGAAACGGGTGGTGGAAAACAAGGCTCAATATCTAGTTGTGTTGGCTTGGCAAGAAAGAGACACAAGCCGCGGAAGGCGCGGAAGGGAAATGAGAGCGCGGAAGCAAACACCCGCAGCGCGGAAGCGCGCGGAAGCAAGTGGAAGCGTCAAATGATACCATCGCAATTTGGTCAAATGCTACCATTGATTTTGATCACCGCTCAAATGCGCCCCGCACACGCCTCTCACGCCTCCCACTCCCCTGGCCCTGCGGTAGGCATGGTCACCAAGCCTTTGTAGTCAGGGCTCGACCATAGGTTCAACTGGCTTTGGGTTGCTGTCCTGAGACTTGATCTCAAGCCCCCAAGTTTGCGGGGTCCAAAGGTGAGTCAGTGTTTTACTTGTGGTGCAAAAACGTCTTCCCCCAGGATTGACTGTGCTTTTGAAGGGGTCTACCAACATGGGCGTGTCTCCTTAACCACCCACGTTTGGGGGGGGGGGGGATTTGCAACCCGACAATCTGGGGTGGACCATGAATGTTAATGGGGCACAGTCGAAGGAAAATGGTTGGTGGACACGTGCACATGTCGTTTCGTGGCTTTGCATGGCTTCACATGGTTTTACATGCTTTACTTGACATGATTTTAAAAGGTTTTATCTGATGTCCATCAAGGTGTCCCCAATTGCATTCATAGGCCAACGCCATGCTGCAGCTGGCCAACTTCCACATGAAGGCCGGCATTCGGACGCGGCGGAGTGGGCTTGAAGGGTTTGGGACCCGAAAAGAGTTGAAACGTCTTAAGATGGCAGTTTGCCAAAACCTGCCAAAACCACCCTGTCAGGTGCAGAGTGCCAAAACCACCCTCTCAGATTCAATCATCGTTGGAGAAAGGAACAACACATTCAGGTCCTGGAGGGGGTTGAACTTTCATGGCTGCTTTGAAAAGGGAAACACCAAATTATATACATTCGCAGATGGTACCCCAATGAGCAGCGTAAGTGAGGCCGTTCACCCTCGGCACACAAACAACCAAACAAGAGTCGATCCCCAAATGACGATCAGTCGAAGAATCTCAATGACTGTGCGGAAAAGAAGAGCAAATTACAGGTACACAAAGCAGTCTGCCTTCGAAGCTTCTCTACTGTGCAGGAGCCTTGGAACCAACAGAAGCAACAGCCGTCAAGTTGGACACGATCCAACTCAAAGTAGTGAGGAATATTTTGTGTGTGGAGACCACCTACATCAACGGGGCCAACACAAACTAATAATTTTGAATGAAGCGCTGGAAGTGCACACAAATGTTCCGAATTACCAAAGGAAGGTTTACACACTAAGTGAAGTACTGTATGACAAAAGGCTTATGCTCCTCGGTCACATCATAAGAAGACCACGACACCACCCGCAACATCTGGTCACATTTGCTGCAACCTCCTTGTACCCAGAACTGTGGACCACAGAGGGGTGAAAGCTTGTTGGGGTTACTCGAACGGCGATCAACATGAAGTGAGTAACAGCAATAGAGAACATATTCGACCACGCGCTGTCATAGCACGAGTCTCATGAAGCAGACCTATGGTTATTAAAGAAAACATGGCTTTCTCTGGTTTCAGTCCGATTGTAAACATCTATCAGTGGGACTCGGCTTTTCTGAAAGGACACTTGGCCTTGCCCGAATTCCCCACGAACATGTCGGGCTTATCCCAGCTTCTTCCCGTGGTACCCTCCCAGAAACAAACATGGAATCTGAAAAGGACCCACTGGAAGCCAAATTTCCTTCCATGGGACCACCTTTCATGTTCGTTCGTGTTTGGGTTTAGGACTGACGCCATCATGAAACGAGTGAAGTATTTCTTTTTCTGGGTTGTGTCACTTTCTGGGTGGTGTTGGTTTTTGCGAGGGAAGCTCGTGGGTTTTTCCAACGCATTCCATCAGGATGACAACTTCGCGGAGGCTGAGAAACTCGCACAGGAAGCCGTGCAGCTGGGAAAGAAGGATCGCAACCCCAGGCAGGGTTGGGGTTGGCGGTTCCCCCCTTGGCCGAAGAGGGGTCCTTCTCCCTTTGCTTGCTTTTTTTTGGTTGCAGACATCTTTCTTTTTTGTGTGTGCGTGTGGGCGGGGGATACGAGGAAAACAAAGGAGCGCAGCCCGCCGGAAAGTAATATGCCGGCCATTGTCCAATAGAGGTCGACGGTCGGCTTGCGATTGGTATGGGATTATTTCCCCGAGACATGTCAAAGCTGGGGGGGGGAACCTTTGGATGGCTTCAAAGGTGAAAGAAAGAAAGACAACCTTTAATGTGAACACTTTGAGGGATACTAAAAGACACTTTTGGGGTGATGTCTCTGTAACGACAAATTGCAGGGTAATTTTGATATCACTTGGATGGACCGAGAACTTGAACACGCACGCGCGCACATCTTCCATCAGCTCAAGCACCGCACTATGCGCCGCAACCTGCCAGGGCTCAAGTGGACGCCCTGCTGCTGCTCACGCAGCTGAGCAACACCAAGGTGCTGGACAAGCCGGAGGCACACCCCAAGCTTCCAAGCTCTTCTCTCCCCTGATACAAAACGTACAAAGGCCTGATTTGGCGACACTCCAGGGCCTACGAAGCAGGAAAGCTGCTCGACCTTTCGAATCGACTTCTCAAAGGATCTCCGCCCCAATGGGTTCCCAAAGCCAACCAACGACTCGTCCGGCGAGTCTCACCTTTCGTTTGGGTATGTGTCAAAATTGGTGACCCTCAAACATGGGTGGTTTTCCCTTCGGTTTCCCTTTACACTCACCTGAAGAGGGTGCCGAGCCTCACACAAAAAACCGCTCACTTGGGGGTTTCTTCAACATGGTGGACTCAAATTTTGGTATTCGAGGGTCAGAAAAGGAACCCACCCATAGGAAACGAAATGAAGCCATAGGAAGTGGACCGATTCGCATTTTGAGATTTGTTTTTTTCCTTCAGGACAAGTCCATGCGCCCCATCATCGACCGGGCAGTGCGCACGGTGAACGAGGCGCTACAGGTGGCCGGGAAGGCGGAGAACCGCTCACTGCGCGCGCTGGTGCTCTTTAAGCGCGCGGAGCTTCTCGTCCTCCAAACAACCTGGCGCACGTGTGGGTGGGTGGGTGGGTGGGTGGGTGGGGTTTGGTCGATCCAACTGGGTTTTTGCACTGCTCACTGTTTTGGGAGGCCGCGGATTCATTGTTTTGGTTTGGGCTTTGGTCAATTTTGGGAGACACGTTGGCTTAGTTTTGAAAGTGGGCCCGGGGTACCGTCCCATCTACATGCTTTCAAGAGAAACTCTGCAGGGAGTTCACATACCGATGCAGCCCACTTCTAAGTACCAATTTGGGCAAGAGCTTGAGCGCCATGGATCATTGCGCGCCTAGGACCATGGTGCTGGCTGGCAGGCCAGGGAAAGCGAGGGATGAGGGAGCCGACAAAGCCGACAAAGCTTGACATTTGCCTGGCACGCACGTGCGCAGGTGCCGTTTGCACGTGAGGAAGGGGAGGTGTGACAAGTCTTGCCGTGACAAGGGATGTGTCAGAACACTTTCTGATGGGTTTCTGTCTTGTGTTTGTTGTCCATGTGCACCGTGGTGTTTGTTAATGTTTTTGTTGTGCGGACACTCACCGATTCAAGAGCACGCGATGGGATACCGTCGACATTTGCATTGGCCGATGTTGGACCTGGTCTTGCATTCCCTCTCGCAAGCTGGCCGGCCCGCGTTCAGGCACCAGACCGGCTTGAGAGACGTGAAGGAAGCCGGCGCCATTTTCGAGGCGTGGGTCTTGGGTCCCACATGGGCGGCTTGGGGCCCGGTTGCTTGAGCTCGAGTGAAGACCTGAAGCCATGTTTGCCCATTTTTCCTTGCATCCAATTGGCTTCCTAATCATGACTGACCCGCAACTGGTTGGCATGCCTTTGTTGTTTTCCTTTACACGACGCTTGAGCAGTGCCCAAAGTCCCCAACAAGTCCTGATCAGACAGTTCCGGATTGAGACGGTTGCAACTTGCTGGTGTGACAATCCGTATGGTTCAATGTTGGACTTGACAGGCGGTTATGTGGGCTGAGGAATTATCAGCACTCCAATGAACCAAGACGCTCACGATGCATGCCAGGATGTATTTGTCGGGGGTCATGGTTGGCCAATGGTTTGAAACGGAACCCAGAGGACACCTACCACTACACCCTTACGTCCCTTACGTGCTTTGCTGCTCGGCTGTACGACCCTTGAGCCTTCTACTTTTCGGCACATGAGAGCAACTATGCCAGCCATGACCCTTTTTGTCCAAGAAGGGGCAATAGGCAATAGGCCCGCCCCGGTGGGTGAACTCAGCACTGACTGGATGTCGGAAATTTGGCTTGTTTGTTTGTCCATTTTTTCTCCGCTTGTTTGGTGGTTGGTTGTTTCTAGTTCTGTTCTTTGTTGAAGCAAGGCATAGTCCAAGCATGGTTTGAGGAAAAGTTGTTTTTGTTGCTTGTTGAATTCCCTCCGGTCAGCTCGCAGGAGATGGACCATTACCAGGCCCTGGGCCGGTGCTGCCTCCTCTCAGGCAACATCAAGCACGCGTTGGGCCGCGTGGCGAATGGCTGGGGGGCCGCGTCTCCTTTTGGGGTCCCTTTCAGTTTTGCTTTGGAATAATTTCTCGAGGACGGGTTTCCTTGGAAGGTACCCTCCAAGACACCCGTTGTCGCAATCTGGAGTGCAACCCAACTCAAAGGCCCTCAACTCCCAAGAGGTCTCTTGAGTGCCCTAAAGAATGTACGGCGGAATCAACAAGTCCTGACCTGGATGCTGCAGGGAAGACAAGCATGCATAATATGTCGGCACGTATTTGGTGGGGTGATGTCCAGTTGGTTGAGTTTCTGATGGAGTGGCCTTCAACAGGCTTGCTTGACAGGCTGTTTCGCCCTGTCAACCAGCAAACATTGATAGTTTTTCTGCAGCCTGGGTCCCCGGGTCTGGTCAAGTTACTAGACCTTGAATTGCCCTTGGCTTTTGATAGAGGCTCCCAACCCGACGTGTTGCAACAGGCCTGCTTGTGGCATGAAACCTGGAGATCCCTGAAAGTTGTTTAGCGGTGTTTGAGTCCCAGTTGCTTTGTACCCCGGTTTGCCTTTGGTGTGAATAGGTCTCCGTTTTAACTCAACCAACAAAAAGGCCTGGGAGGGGGGGGGCTGATCATTTTCTCATGGCTAGAGAAAGCATGACAACTGAATTGAGTTTGATGTTGAACAAAATAGGTTTGCAGACCTGGATGCATCCTAGAATTCATGCCCCCTTTTGCATGGTTTGCCATTTTGGACGATACCGAATGGGGGGAGCCAGCACTGGTTTGTTTGGGCAACTGTTGTCCTCAAGGTGTGCCAGTTTTCCGTGGTGACAAAACAGGCATGACTTCCAAACACCCCCTCCCCCAAAACGGGCTTACAATGGCTTCGTTGTGGCCAAATCCTCCCACTTGCTTCGAGCCATGAAGCCATGCCCCATGCACTCACCCAGAACCGTGACGAAATTGGCGGGGGGGGGGGGGTGAATTTACAATTGCGGACGGCTTATTCTTTCATGCCGCTGGGACAACCAAACACGAATACACGAAGCGCTGCTATGGCCTCCTCGTTCACGGGTGAACCACATTGCGGTTCCATTGGTTCGTTCGATCAACCGTTGGGGGCAGGATTTTTTGGCCATGGCACATGGCTGACATTTGGGTTGCGTCAAAGCATGGTGGTTTCCCCTGTTGATTTCCCTTTACACCGAATTGGCACCCTCATTTGGAGCAGCCTAGCACTCATTTTAAGCAGCCGACAAGCGGGGGCAATTTGTTGTCGAGGTCAGGAGGAGGCTGGCGCTGCGGACGTGGAGAAGGCTGACTTGATCGCCAAGGACATCGGGGATCACCAGCTGGCGGATGAGGACCGGGGCCAGAAGACGCATAGGGTGGAGGGTAGGATGATGTTTTTTGCCTCAAAACCTCAAGAGATGCTTTCAACTTTGGGTGTTCCCCTGAAGACCGGGTGAAACAAGAGGCTTCCCTACGTCAGAATCCCACCAGAGGCTCCGGTGCCGACCCCGCAGGTGATGAACTTCCGCAAGGCTCTGGAGGAGAAGAAGAGGGAGGCGGAGCGGGCTGCGCAGGTGCAGCACCTTGGGACCAAATCGATTTGTCGATGGTTCGGTCTTGGTTTAGCTGGTTCTGGCAGACCATCTCTGGGTTTGTGGTTTGTGGTTGTAGGTTATCTTAACTTTAAATGATTCCGAGCTTTAGTTGTGGTTTTGCCGTGTAGTCTCGGGTTTGGTTTGGTTTGCGTTTTTGGTTGCCCTCTTGGCAACAATCATGGAAAGTGGACCGGAGGGTGTTGGGAGACTAGTGTCCTCCATGATTCTTGGAGAAACAGTATGGCGAAGTTCAAGCCATCCCCGCCAAAGGGGGGGAATATGAGTATGTGTTTTGTTGTTGCTTTTGTTCGTGTTGTGTTAAAAAGAAAGCCACAAGAAATCCAACCCTCATTTTCAGACAATCCCATTGTGTTGGCCGATGTTTGGTTTGCTATGGGCTGGAACAATCGGTTTGTGTTGGGCCTACCAACTTGTGCAAGGGCCCTGTTTTGAGTGTAGCAAACTTCGTGACTGTTTGCTTCAGTTATTCTACTTCTGCCTGCTTGCCAATACTGTACAATTTCTTTGAGTTCCTCTATCTTCTTTAGCAGGCTCCGATTAAATGGCATTTGCTCGAAAAATGGTTTATCAGAGGGCGTTCAGCTGGGGTACGAACGGGCGTTCCTTCTAGTTTGCTTGGCTTAACCTCTTCAGCAAACGGCAAAACATGCTGTCTGCGTGTTTTGCTGTCCGCGGGGTAACACTTTAACAGTTTGGATCGCATTCATCTTTCGATCAAGGTCTATTTCGAGCGGCTGTGAGCGATTTCATGAAATTCCCACTGATCAACAAGCCTTCCAAGCGAATGAACAAATCAGGGTTAAGACCAATCAATTTCATCTGAAGTTCAATTTCATGGGAATCGCGCATTGACTTCTGCTCTCGGAGCTCAAACTGTTCTTCCGATGTGACGGAACTCTCTTCCCGTGCTGCGTGCTTCATGCACGAGTTGCAGCATGGGTATTGTATTGCTAGTTTGGGGAGGACATCGGTGCTGTTGCCCCACGCCAAACAACACACAGAAGGCCACCCAATTTTCCCACACATCCAGCTTAAAGAAACCTGTCAAGCATTTTCAGCAATTTACATGTTCCAGATAAGTTTTGAGGGATTCCCAAGTTTGGAACATCAGGCTTGCCGTGGGCATGAGAAGTTCAAACATCTTATGCGGGGGCAAGGCGGCCACGCTTTGCTACAACCTTCTGGACGGTTCCGCTTCATTGAGCAAGATCCTATAATGGTGAAACGAGCTTGGGCCACTATGATGAGGGTGGTTTATTGTGCAAGAGTACATTTTGTCCCGGTGGTTTCTGTTGTTTTGCAGTCTTCCATGATTCCCCACCCTTCGGGGGGGAACGGCCCTGACGTGACGTTTTGCCCCGGCACTTTCCGCCAAGCAACAGATAACCTGGGTTTGGAGCAGTGCTTTCGGAGTACCTCGAGAATTATTATTCTTGGGTTTCTGGAGAGGCATGAGTGCCTGAGTGCCTGGAGAGTAAGAAGTCCTCGGGTTCCTGGCACTGCTTTTTTCTGAGGATCGAGCAGCCTCAGCTGATGGCGCCAATGCCCGGGGCTCCAGCCCCGGCGCCAGGGGCCGCGGTGCCGGTGGTGGAGTCTGTGGCAGCTCCGCAGCAGAAGGCGGAGATGGGCATTCAGACATTCGTGGTTTTCCTGTTTACCTTTCTCTGTTGAAGGGGTTTCCGTCTGTGTGTGTGTGTTTCTCTTTAGCATCAAGTGCCAAGCATGGGTGGCCTTTTTGCTCCCACCGGAGGTTTGGGTCTAGCTTCGTCCATTTTGTTGCAGCAAAGCTAAAGGACATAATTGTGACGGTTTGGAGAGGTCCAAGCAATTTTCGGGTTTCGGAAGCGAGCACATGGGCAACAGATGGCACTTTTCCTTCGTGGTTGTCCTGCTGCACTATCAACAGTGTTCCCAGTTGGCAAACAAAGGGACATCTTGATAGTTTCTCACACAAAAAATATGGATGAAAGCAATGTGGGATCAATTTTTGAGTTGCGGATAACTCGTTCCGTTCCTCATATTCGATAGCTTTCTTCCATCCTGCCCCCTCGCCCCGCTTTGTTACTTAGTGGGACGGCAACACAAATGAACGGCAATGGGGCAGTGGATGAGTGTTCCCCTACAATTGGGGAGCCCTTTACATTGTATTGCCTTCCAAAATACCACACGAGGGGATTCCTCATTTCTGGAAACAACTAGATGAGCCACCGTTTGCACTGAATTGTAACATATGTGCTTTGGAACACGAGTTGTTTAGCCCCAAAACCTTTGGCCGATCTAGTCAGGGCTTCTGTCTCCATGGGCTGAGGGATGAAATGCGAGGGCCAGCAAACCGCCCCTTCAAAGATAGCTGGATCTTCAACACCCATTGGCTCAGACCGGGTGAGCGACACCGATTTGACCCGATCTCCGGCAGGGACTGGATCCCGTGTACGTGCGGAAGCAGCTGGCGTCGATGGTGAAGGATTCTCGTGCGAAGAGTCGAAGAGTCGACCCCTTTGTTGCCATTGGAGGGGGGAGCTCTGGAGCCTTCTCAGCCCAAAGCCCATCTTTTGAACTTTTGGTTTCCTAATTTTGGACCATTTTTGTCCAGGTCCCAAAAGCTTACTTAACCTTTTATTTCCAGGTCTTTTGGGCAGCCGAGCCTTTTCAGCTCCTTGAGGTTCCCTGCAGTTTCCTTAAGGCCCGTTTCGGTCCTGATTTTCACGCACCGCACCTTTCGACTCCGCTGATTAGTTTTGCGTCCATGAAAGAACCTCATGTTTATGTGCACAATAAGTAGGTTGAGGCCTTTCTGTCCCTTTCAGCCGCGTGAGGATGCCATTGCCAGCGACGACGAGCTGGAGCTGGATAGTCCCTTCATGGATGCCGGAATGGACAGCTTGTCCAGTGTGGCGCTCATGAGCATGGTGGCGAAGGACTCACTTCGATGTGTGTACATACACACATATACAATATATACACTATATTGTGATGAGTGAGGGAGTGCACCTTTGATCAATTTGACAGAGTTTACATTGAAGAGAAACACATACATAGATCAGCTTGCACACAACTCGCCTTTTGTTGTGAGTGTTTCTTTGCATGAATGCTGGATTATAGTCGTGCAGTTTGCAGTCCGGGTGTCTTATTGTTTGAAGGGGGCCAACTTCTACCCAGAAAGGGCTCCCAATAGGTGAACCGAGTTTCCTTCGAATTGGCTCGTGAGGCGCAGGGTGTGGCGTTTCACGTTTTCGCTTCCTTTGCATCCGGGGAATTCCGGGAGGAATTCCAGATGGCGCTGAGCCCGTCCCTGGTCTTCGACTTCCCGACCCTCAGGCCCTTGACCTGGGACAGGTTCACAAACCGAGAAGCCAAAGGACCACATGTTTCTTGGGCAAAGAAGTTCACTAGGAGTGTTTCTACTTGGGCAACAGTTGTCTAAAAGCGTCGTTGTCAGTTTGGCAAAAGTTCTGTGAACATGCACCATAGTCAAAGCAAACGCGTCGACCTTCCCAACTGACGGTATCCGTAGGGCCGTGAGTTTGATGCAAAGAAGGGAACCCGTTTGATGCAAGGAAGGGGATGCCGATGGATGCCGAATAAAATGTATAAAAGACACACACCTGCCAACATCGGGACCCAGGGAGGGCACACCATTGAGCCTGTGGCTGCGCGTGCCCTCTGGGTTCAGATGAACAAAAAGGCTTTGTTTCCCGCAAGGGAAAGCACTTGGCGAGTGCTTTGGGTGATTCTTTTGCGGAGAATTTGGGTTCCCTCTTTCCACAAAACCTTTTGAATATGTGTGATTTGGGTCTGATAATTCTTGTTTGGATGTGATTGCTGTCCCGGGGGATTTGCCGCAGGTCGATGGAGGAGCACCTCGTGACCGAGAGCTTGGGGATGTGAGTCGAGCGAACACCAATTCCCCTCCAAAAGCAAATGTCAAGAGAACGGCTCCTTGGTACCTTGGTGCACGCAAAACGGAGATGAGATATGTAGCATTCTCGACAATGTTAGAAACGAATCAAAGCTTGATCTTCTACGATATCCGAACTGAAGATGCCAACAGGCGAGCAACAATCGCAGGCCGTTGCTCAGGTGAACAAGCTCATTTGTGTTAGGAGCAGACGCGACAGAAAAAGCTGGTCCGATGAGGCTCAGGAGCGATCGTTTCTGATGGGCATGGCAGGGAACAAGACATGACCCCATACTACCAGTAGAAAACATTCTGTGGGACCCGTTTGTTTTGAAAGGAAGAACAAGAAGGCCAGCCCTGTTGTTGCCTCATTTCTCCTTGATGGAGCCAACGGTGGATATGATTTGAAACCACTGGGGTAGTTACAAGTGAGTGTTTTGCGGGACGACCCAATTTGACCTGGAAGGACGATGCATGAATATCCCTGTCCAACAGGGTTGGGTGAGATTGACCCTTATTGTATAATCGCCTTTGTTGAAGAGGCCAAGGGAAGTGGTGACATATGGTTCTGCTAAAGCGGGACCACATATGTGTGCGCAGTGCGCTAGGGTAGCAGGGTACACTAAGATTCCAAGATGCGAGTGCGATATTTGTTTTTGCTTACTGGAACTCTCTACTGATCGTTTGCCTCATCGGCTTGACACGTTTGTGCGACGATTCATTGCTCTCTCTGACTCTTGGGTTTTTGGAGCCCATGAGACCTGGTTTTTACGAGCCTTCGGTGTACAAGCTCGTGGCCCAAGGCTTGGTTGGGCAGTATCTTCTTGCCAGACACCTCGAGCCATGGCTTTCGTTCGCAGCTTCCGCCGCTGCGCCGAGAAGGCGCGGCGCCTGCGCACAGTTTTCCTCGGATGCGTCAGAGTGGATCTCCTCAGAAGGAAGCGGAAGTGGCAGGTTTCAACCGTGGTTGGCACCCCCAGATGAATTAATCCTAACACTTGCCTTCAACCATTTCTCAGTGAAATGTTGGGATTTGAAGACTGGTATGGAACATCCGCGCTGGTCCTTGTCAGATGGCACCCCTGGTCCATTGTAGACTGATGCCGGGGGTTCAAGTTTCGAGGTCACGAATTTGGACTCTCAGAGATCCCCTTCGTGCAGCTGTGGCGAGTGATACCAACGTCCCGCTAGTGACGCATTCAATCAGCAGCCAAGATTTCGAAATGGGATGTGTTGATTGGGGAAGCCGGAGGCTGTCATGGTTCAAGGGTTGGGTCCTGTGCGGTTGATATTTGTTTTTGTTCTGCCTGTTTTTGTACCAAATCAGTTGGGAAGGTTAGCAACATGCACTTCGACCCAATTTGGTCAACGCTGGTGTTTAATCCAAGCTGGCGCCAGAATGCCGAACGAAGGCATGGCTTGTATCGTTCTATAGATTCTATACAACATGTTGGGACTACTGCTAGGGCAGCTGCTTGGCTTGTGGCCGACGTGGGAAAAAACTAAACATGCATGCTGCACTAATATTTGTATTTCTATAGGCATCACTGCAAATTATGACATGCAAACACTTTGCCGGCAAACCAGTTGCAGCAAACGGCACAATGGGCATATCTATGACCATTGTATATCCGGTCCTATATATATATATATATAGATAACATGCACGCATGCACATGTGTAGTATATTCATATATGCTCACCCCTTACATGAACTACCTTTACTGCACTGCAAGCCCTCATTTGTGAGATTACACATGAGAGGCCAATGTCCCCAGCCCTGTGTTTTTTGCGTAAACAAATAGTTTTTTGTTAATATGCTATCTGGAGATATTTCGCTGGCATCTGACGTCTGGTTCTGCACCATGCCTAGTATTCCCTGAGTATTCCCTTAGTGTTGCCCGAGTTTTGCCCTAGCTAGGAAGCCTGAAAGAAGTCAGACAGATTAAGCTTGAGAGTATGCCCCTAGTATTCCCTCAGTATTCCCATAGCATTCCCCAGTGTTCACCTTTAGTATTCCCTATCATACCCCGAGTACCCTCAGTATTCCCCTAATATTCTTCAAGTATTCTTCTTTGGTATTTTCTCTAGTTTCTCCTAGTGTTGCCCTGGCTCTGATCTAGCATTCCCCTAATATTGCCCTACTATTCCTTTAGTCAAAGAAAGTGAGAAAGCAAGTAAGAAGTAGAAAGAAAGAGAGGAGTTGTGTGGCAGGCGCAGCATATTTCGGGCTGGCGAGATCGCGAGGGCTACCGCTGTTTAGCGCCCAAGTTCCCAATGGCACGGCCGCGCACACTGCATTGGCGTGCTTCGCCCGATGCCCTCCGCGGGGATCGTTCGTGTCGAAGCGCTCTCGTTGTGGTTGTGGCGGCGTGCAAAATATTCTGCTGCAGCCTTCTTGCGTCATGTCTGCGGAGATGAAAGCAGGCAGCAGGGATGAGAAAGTTCCCGCAGACCGTAAGAAAACAAAAGCAAACAAAGCCTCAGACAAAGAGTCTTGGCCTCAACTCCGTCATTTGCCTCAGGCTATCAAGTTTCTTGCTTTTGGTCCCTCAGCAGAAGAGGCAAACAACTTGTAGAAAACTCGAAAAACAGAAAACCAACAAGCTAAAGCCCCAGACAGAAGGTCCTGGGCCCAACTCAGACATTTGTTTCAGGGCTTTGTCGTCTGTCGGATTTCTCGTGTTTTGTTGGCTTTTGAGTGTTCTTACAAACCCAAACAACGACAACAATCAAAGCCCCAGAAAATAGGTCCTGGCTCCAACTCAGACATTTGCCTCAGGGCTTTGTTTTTTTTGTTTTCTCCAAATTCCTTGCATTTTCATGTCTTGCAAAAGCGCAGGGTTGACATTGGTGTCTGTCAGACATCTGTGCAAACAACCTCAGCGCGTATCACAACACATCTGTTTCTCAGGAGCTTGGGAAGGCTGCCTACTTTCTTTATAGTTGGCGAACTTAGGCAGCTTGCTAAGCCACTGCAAGTTGTCTAACTTGAGTTAGTAAGTCCGCTAGGTCCTACTTACCTGGCAAGTAGGTCGCCCAGCCAAGACACAACATCCTCGTCAAAGGTCGCCTCCTCGTCACCTCAGTTCCTTCTTGCCTGCTTTTGGGCCCTCTGCAAGAGGTTACCTCCTTGTCACCTCCATGTCAACTCTCCTTACCTCCCTGTCACTTCAATGTTACACTTCCTTGTCGTTTCCTCGTTGCACCTTTGCTCCGTTCTTTTCAAGAGGCCTCCTTGTCACATCCTCGCTGCCTACCTGTCGCAGTTTGATCGCCTCTTCTTTGACAAGCGCTGTGATATGGAAGCAAGTCATTGCTTTGAGCCTTGTGCAACTAGCCTTGGTCGGCTGCCAAGGGCAGCGCTGTTCTGCGTGACATGCGTTGTTTGATTGCAGCAATTTCTTCTCCTCAGGCTGCTTTCTGCGATTGCCAGGACTTGGTGCCCAGACATGCTTAGCTTTCGCTTGTCACTGGCGAAGTCTCTCCAGCTGATGTCAAAGAGACTATCCAGAGTCTGACTCTCTCACAATTGTGGGGGTGCAACTTGACGGAGAAGGACCTCGCTCGATGCTGGAGGGTCTGGTGATCTTCCGAAACCATATGGTCTCAAAAGGCAGCCCCACCATCGGTCTGGCAGTGACTGGGCAAAAGAACGGCAAATGCAAAATCAGAGAACGAAAAAATCGCTGAAGTGAAGTTGCTGACTCTCGGCAAGGCGCACGTGGTGGATTGGAAAAGCAATGTCAGGCATATGAAGAAGCATATTCGCTACGTTTCGAAAGCATCGGTTTCAATGGCGAAACCTTGTTTTGCGAGCCCAAGAAGAATGTAAGGCGGACGCAGAGAAGTCGGAGGAGGAATGGGACATGTGCTTCGGCTTCATCGAGGAGACTGCGCCTTGCGACAACGTGAAGAGTCGGCGCCTGAGATGGCTCGCCCTCCAGAAATCTCTCCTGAGCCTCTCAAGCGACGGCGTACTAGCTGCCGTCAAGAGAGAACTACGGATGTGAGACAAAGGGAGTAGGTGAGGTGATTTACCTTCCCTCACTCCCGTTCTTTGTCCTTTCCTTCCTACCCCAACTTTTCTATTTCTGGTTCATTTTGGTTGGGGAAGGAACGGCGCGGGCGAGAGAACGAGCGGGAAAGAAGAATGGAATGTGAGAGCCATTTCTGCTTTCCTCACTCTGCTCGTGCACTCATCCCTTTGTCTCACTTCCCTTTTCCTTTTGCATCCTGCCGATTGTGCGCCGCAAGTGGCAAGAGGCAATGAGGTACCTCGGCATTTATGTTGATGTTGATGGGTGCTAAAATCTACGACATCGACGGTCGTCTCCTTCGTAAATCACACTGCGAGATCATTTTTTCCGCCAATGCGGTTCTATCACGAGGCCGTTAATTTTTGACGACGGCGCCCTTTGTGAAAATCCGTGAAGGCCAAGTCCTCAGAGAGGCGGGGGCAGCGAAGTGGCTGCACGGGCAGCTCCGCACGCACGGCGTCAACACCCCCGACCCGTAGCGACTCATGAAAATGCTGGAGGTTGCGTGGCGCGCCAAGGAGGTGAAGGATGCCAACATCATGGCTGTCCTCGCAGAACCCATTTGATTGTCAACGCAAAGTCTTTGCTGTATGTACGGCCTTCCTGCAAGGACAAGCAGCCCGTTATCCGCAGGCCCCTTGTGGTGGAAGAGTCCCGCTTGCCCGCTTAGACTACGACTGGAAAGGTGGCGACGCAATGCCGGAGGACTTTAAGTGGAATGGGAAAGCAAATGGGTAGCGGCTGCCGTAGTGGGGCAGTCTGGCGCAGCTTTGCCAGATTGTGTCGCAGCTTTTCTTCGCAGCGAGAAGCAGCACGTGTGCCCAGCTACATGTGTCAACGCCGTAGTGTTGGCAGAGAGCGTGCGGGAAGTATCTTCATCATCCATTTCTATCCTGGGCGCCCGCTCAAATTACGAAAGCAAGAAGCTCGAGAACACAACAAAACAACGAAACACAACTCTGAGGATAAGTTTGGTATTGCCAGAAGTTCGTGTTTTCTCGAGATATGTTACGTTTTGGGC